GTGACATTCCATTAAAAAGCAGGTCACTTTGGAGCCAGCTCATCGCTAAGTGGATTCTACTTACCTTCTCCCCAAGGAGAATAGTCACTAGTTGGTCTCACAGTGAGAACTGAAACCTGAAATCTCAGGTGTTCTAGCCTGTAAAACCATTTTGTCCTGAAATGTAAGATTACTCAGACTTGTGGAAAAATCTTCAATTCAGTCTTAAATTAGAAACCAGTTCTTTTTAAGAACTGAGGAAACTTGGCCTCCAATATAAGATTGAAGTTAAGAATTTTCCACAATATATTGTGAACTTTAAAGTTTCTTACATTCTAAGTCGAGGTGGCATTCAAGTGCCCCTAGATAGTCATAGGTAGTGCTTCCAATAAGATAGACCTCCAGTGGACTACATAAACATCTGTAACAGCTTTCTAGTCACCTATCTCTGCTGAATGTAATATAGTAGAAACATTATCAATATTATCTTAGAAAGAAGAACCAAAAGGGACTTATTCTGCTCCAGTCATTCACATCTTTCAATGTGTTCCTGTAATGGAACTTTCCATCATAAGGACATCAAAAGATTTGCTACATTTGCTGATCAGTGCAGATGAACCTACTAAAGACACCAGATTGCTATAAATAAATTACACATTGTTAGAATGACAGATTATAGAAAATAAAGCTCATGGGGCAAGTGGCATTACTTAGTTGTGTCTGCATCATTTATAAATTATGTGTCTCAACACAGCTTGATGGTGCGTGTTGGCCAGCAAGTTTTTTTTGTGCATATTACCTGCTTAGGATGATAGAAATATCATCATAATAAACAGCTGCAAAACTGAGACTTCAACTGTCACTTCCCAAATACTGGATTAAATTAATATACAGTAACTGTAAATTAATATAATTCATGTCTGGCATCATCCTAGTGTCTGAGAATTCAGAAAAAAATCATTCTATACAACACAACCTGGATTACATCCTCATTCAAAGCCACTGCAATGTGCATCTTTTTTTGTTAAGCACATGTGATTCCAGCTAATCTGAATGTGAATGAGTACAGTTTTGCATATCTATACGTTAATTATTCACGTGTCTGAGAATCTTCATTAGCTCCAATGTAGAAGCGAAAAGATTTGTTTTCATTTGTGTGCATGTACATGAGGCATCCAGCATTGTGGTTATAATGGAGACAGACTCAACTGGCAGCGCAAGGACAATACAAGACGAAACTAAGCACAGTTACAGTTAAGAGAATTATAAGTTTAGAGAAACACACACACCTACACAAATATTTGGAGAGACAGCAACAAATACACAAAAAAAAGAGAAACAGCTTGACAGACACACACACACATACATCAAAATGCAAATACATAGATCCCATTATCCACACGATTTTCATATGCGTAACAGGACTGGCTCCAACTAGTGTGAGCGCTGGACTCACTACTGCATACAGATATAGCTACCATTTTGTACACCAATTGCAGTTGCTATTTCCCTCACAAACTATTAACACCTCTATCCCAGTGAGGTTAATTTCCCACCACTTGTCTGATGAAATGACAATATTCTCTTGTGGAAATATTTTCCTTGAGCAGAGAAGAGAAAGGCTGAACCAGCGACAAGTTGACAAACCCAGGCCGGTCTGCAGTAAATCCAGGCTAGTCATTGGTTTGTGCTGAATTTCTAAAGAAGTTGCCATGTATTTTTCCAGTACGAAAATTGCAATCTACATTGTATTTCAGAATAATACAGAACAAATGATATAACCAGCTAGATTGTACTCTGTTTGTTTACATTCATTGAGTCTCAATATTAAACAGTGACAGATGTCTTAAGTGACTCATATCTATTAAAATATCTCACCTTGGTCCACCTTGGTCCTCCTTGTTGTGGTTAGAAAGAAGACAATTACTCATTGTTAATTTATTGTGAAAGTGCAGTGATACTATCTCCCAATATAAAGTATGTGTTGTGCATTCGTCCAAACACACTATCAGTTTGTGACAATGTTTTTTGATATTCATCTTAAGCTTATTAGTATTACCTAATGTTTGTGTTGGCAAAGATATCAAAAAATATTTCTAAAGATGTCAAAATAAAGTCACAATTCAAAGTAACCTTAAACTTCCTTTAAACTTTGAAGCTCAAAGGTAACACTAACTTGATGTTACAATATGGTGAAAGGGCATCAAACTCTACATGAGTCAGTAATTGTTATTAGCCATTATTTCTTGAAAAACATTTTAGCGTGTAGCTGAGGTTGTTATGCATTCACCTACACATTTTGGGAAGTACTAATGAAGTTTGCAAATGTTGCACTGCGAGAAGCTTTATCAGGTTAATAAACAGAAGGAACATGTGATGTATTTGGTTATAAAATCGCTTCATGATTTTGACAATTGAAGTTTTTATCTGAGTTTCAATTTTAAAAAATGGAGATTCACATGTAACTATCTTATTGTGAAAGCTAATATTGAAGCAAACATATTGTAAATATAAGCCTATCACATGATAGTGTGATGCTTCATGTCAATATAATTATACCCTATGTTATATTAGATCACTACAGCGTCTGGGTAGTTTCAACAACTATTTTAAATCGGTGCCCTTGGAGTACCGACCCCATCCCCCCACCAGTAGTTTCTCCTTGTTCCACCTATCGAATCCCCTCATAACTTTGAAAACTTCTGTTAACGCAAAGGTGAGATGGAGGTAGATTTTCCCCTGAAGAAGCTGTTTGTGAGCAGGGTTCCCAGCCTCCCCGACACTGAGACACAGCCCCGCCCACTGTCACACAGGCTGGACAGCGCGAGTGGAAGTCCCCACAGACGGTGCCACCTTCGGTCTACTCGCCCCCCAGTACAGAGCAGGGATTCCCCTGACTGCCCACCCCCACCCTCCCAGCCTATGAGAGCAATTGACACTGTGTCACTATGAACACCTTCCTGAGCAGTATTTTATACTCACTCGTATAGTCCATGGTGAAGAACCTGGAACAGCCAGCCTGTGTGACCCCCACCCCTCCAGGCTGCCATTGAGATCCCCCCCAACCTCTGAATATTACGGAATGGCCAACTCTATGGAGTCCTGTAGCTCAGTGGTTAGAGCTATCGGCTCGCAAGCTAGAGGACCTGGGTTCAATTCCCGGGCCGGTCAGGACGAAACGTTGGGCAAATTTCCTTACTCCACACGCACATACATGCCTTCACCTAGCAGTAAGTAGGAGCCAGCTTGTTAGTCGATTGGCGGATCGCTTTTCCGGGGTAATAATCCGCTTGATCACTCATTCCACAACGGTTTGTGGGACACTGCTGTGCGCAATTGGCTGCGGCGTTTCACCCACAAAATATACAGTCAATTCACTTTACAGTATATCCTGTGAAGCGATTAGAGACATCTCGAAGACGTGATAAGGCACTATATCAAATGCAAGGATTATTATTATTTAATACTATTAATTCTCCTCTTAACCTTCTCTGCTCCAAGGAGAATAATCCTAGCTTCTCTAGCCTCTCCTCATAACTGAAGGCCTCATTCCTGGTACCATGTTGGTAAATCTCCTTTGCACTATCCAATGCCTTGACATTCTTCCTAAAGTTGGGTGCCCAGAACTGAACACAGTACTCTCGCTGAGGCCTAACCAGTGTTTATAAACATTCATCATAACTTCCTGACTATTGTACTCTATGCCCCTATTTATAAAGCCTAATATCCCATATGCTTTTTTAACAGCTTTATCTACCTGTCCTGCCACCTTCACAGATTTACTTATATGAACCCCCGGGTCTCTCTGTTCCTTCACCCCCTTTAAGATTGTACCATCAGCTTATATTGCCTCTCCTCAATCTTCCTCACAAAATGCATCACTTCGCATTTCTTCACATTAAACTTCATCTGCCACATGTCTACCCATTTTACCAGTCTGTCTATGTCCTCTTGCAATCTGCTACTATCCTCCTCATCGTTTACTACTTTTCCTATCTTAGTATCATCTGCAAACTTGGAAATTGTACTCCCTATACCCAAGTCCAGGTCATTTATATAGATCAAAAACAGCAGTGGCCCCAATACCGACCCCTGAGGGAAACAACTACACACTTCCCTCCAGTCAGAAAAACAACCATTCACCACCACTCTCTGCTTTCTGTATCCCGGGCAGTTCTGTATCAAGGCTGCCACAGTCCCTTTAATACTGTGGGCTTCTATTTTGATTACAAGTCTCTTATGTGGCACTTTATCAAACGCCTTTTGAAAATCCGTACAAACTATGGCAGATGAAGTTTAACATTAAAATGTGTTAGTTAATACAGTTGGGGTGGAAGAATAATGATTGGGAGTTTGTCCTTAATGGAGAAGCACTAGGAGGGGTAGGTGAGCAAACAGATCTAGAGGTTCAACTCCACGCATCATCAAAATCCAGTTCACATGTGCAGAAAACAGCACGTAAACCAAATAAGATACTTTTATTACAAGTGGTCTGGAATATAAAAGCAAGGATATCTTGCTCCAGATACAAAAAGCAATCGTCATTTTGAGGACTGTGTTTAATTTCGGGGACTCAAAACTCTGAATAATATACCAGCATTTGAGAATGTCCAGCAACTGTTCACTGAACTATTTGGTGGGCTAAAACAGTTTGGCTGTAATGAAAGGAATTGTATTCCTTAAAACAAAGGAGGTTATGGGGTGACTTGATTGAGGTATTTAAAATAATGAAAGGAATTGACAGGTTATAGATAGTGGATGACTCTTCCCTCTGATAGAAGGATCCATTATAACAACAAAACAACAAATTGCATTTATATAGCGCCTTTCACATTGGGAAGATATCCCAAGGTGTGCCGTTTTGCTTGGAGTTGAAGGTTCTGCCCCCATTACAAAATCCGAACACAAATGGATAGAACTGATGTCAGGAAGTATTTCTCCACACAGAGGAATGTTTTAAAAGGCACATTCTACCCTCATATTACTATTGTGTAATGCTGCTTGCATTTGAACTTTTTCAGATGGACCCTATGATCTGACAGTGAATTCAGAAGCCCAATATAAAATCCGTGAGGGAGTCTTCGCCATTGGCAAAGGAATGCCAATCTTGTTCAAATGTTCAGCCAGCTCCAACCCACCGAATGTCTATTCATGGTTTCAAAAATCCAACAACGAGACAAGACCCATTCAGTGGGGGCCACTGCTGAGAATCAATTCTGGAAAAGCCCCTGAGAAAGCTGACTACACATGCTGCGTGTACAACAACATCACTGGCAAACGGGATGAAGCTCAGGTCACACTCATACTCTCTGTAGCAGGTGGGTGCAGGGTTTGAACATTGTCCATCAACGATTGGTTTTCATAGTGATATCTGAATGTTGGATTTCAAGGCTGGTTTAGTTCCCACTAAAGCTAGATGCCATGTGTGAAATGCATCTATTAGGCAGATCTGGAATTTGAGAACAAATCAATTTATTTGCTGGGAATTTAAATGAGCAGTCAGACTTCAGGTCTGAAATTTCACCTCATTTTTGCCTGCCTTAACATTTAAGTTTGGGTACATAGGAACAAGAGTAGTCCATTCAGTCTCTCAAGTCTGTTACACCGTTATAGATCATGACTGATTAGATCTATTAGATCTCCACTGCAAAATGGAGAAAAAAATCTTAAATTCCTTTTTAATTTAGAAGTTGTTTTTACTCTTCATCCACAAATGAAGAAGCTTCCAAATTAAGACTGATTTCAAGAATTTACCACAATTTTTCATCATCTAAAATTTTAGGACAAAGCGGTCTTATTAGCTACTGTTGGGGAACTTGGTCTTAAGTTGGCTTGGCAGACATGTGAACTATTCCTGTCTGTTAGAGAAATCAGTAAAGTGTACTTACGCAGTACCACTGAGCCAGCAGTGTCGGCAGTTTTTCACAACAAAACCACCAGAGAAACAGATTAGAAACGGAAACATAACCTCCCAAAACTGAATGAAGTGCACTTTAAAATCTGTAACAACTCAGATCTGTGAAAGAAAACGGCTGCCACCTTCTCAATTAATCATCTTATGACGCTCCCAAGCCCAACCTCCTTCACACTGATGGTTGAGGGACTTTGTATTTGTTTGTTCGCACCACCTGCACTATGCTTTTAGCTGCTTCAGATCAATACGGCAGCCTGTCACCAGGAGGACACGAACCTGTCACCAGCCGAAATTGACTACCAGTCAAAGGGGGTTTTGGAACCTAATGATGTGTTTTTGGAATAATTAAAATGTCCACTGCAGTTTGTTGCCTGAGCAGTTTAGAGAGACTCAGAAAAAGGTATTGGTTCTTCTCTGATTGTTTGGGGAATAGGGACTGAGATGTACCCTGTGTGAGTGGCAGTAACATGTCCACATCAGTAGCTGTACCTTCTGAATAGAATAGGGCTTTTGTAATTTAACCTGTGAATAGTGTGAGTGGTTTTCTACATTCTTCTATTTCTACATTATACTTAGAAGCTGTATTTTATATCCAGACAACTTAATGTTGGTGCTGTCATGGAGTAGACAGAATAATTGGGTTCTGAACAGCAAATGACAAAATGCTGAATTTGATTTGAGTTGATCTGGTGTGTTGAATAATGAAAGCAAGGTTTGAGTGGATTGTGAATGTCACAAGTTCCCAGAGATTCAATTAACACCTTTGACTCTGTTCCCGCTATCTGACATATTGCAGGTTATCCAAAAAAGGATTAAATTTAAAGACTTGATATCTGCATTTGTTACAATTATGAGACATGAGTGGATCGTGAAAACACGCAGGACAGGATTTTAAAAATAATTCTAAAGGAGAACAATTGGGTCTAATTTGAGGCCTGAATTGAGGGACTGTAAGTTCTGAATAAGAATCTGAATAAGAATTACTCAGATGTAGTCCCTCATTAACATTGCTCTGAATTCCAAATTTCTTGGCTGCACATTTGTCTTCCTGCTCCCAGTTCCATAGAGTTGGGGTGAGGTGGGAGGGTGGGGAGAGTGTTCATTTCTAGCATATCTGCATAATTCATATTCCATACTTAAGGGATCAAGGGGCTGTTAAGCGATCCCTTAAGTAATCTCTATGGAGAGAGGAAAGGGAGTTAACATTTCAGGTCGATGATCTCTCATCAAAAGACTTCTATTTTTATTTCAGATTTCTAGCATCAGCAGTGTTCTTCAGTAATGTGTATGTTTAGTTTTCAAATTCAGTCCAATTGTTAGATGCTCAACATAGTTTGTAAGTGTAGTTAATGTGACTGTGATAACAATCACAAGGAGCTCGTTAGGAAACACCGCAAATTTCTTCCGCAAATTTCTTCCGCAAATTTCTTAGTTATCACCAGCTTCCACATGAGTCCGTCCCTCTTTGCCCTGAATCCTGAGTAAGTATTGAATAACCCGCTCTTAATACTCTCTGGGGTTAGGTAAGCAGGATGTGTCCCTTCAGGATGCATGGAACTCTGTTTGGTTTGGATACTCTTAAGCATGGTGACAGGTTTCCTTGGGAGTCGGAGGCCCGGCTGGAAAATGGAAAATGAGGAACCCAGAGTAGAGGAAGTGAGCATCCAAACAGCATTTAGATCCTATTTCTGTCTAAACCTGTTGTAATAACCTTGCAAAGCATCATTGTGCAACATGATCTTTTCATAGCGTTAACGTAACGCTTTGTATGTATTGCAGATATCGTAAACAGTATGAAACAGTGGGATATAATTGGGGCCCTTGTTTTTTGCAAATATGAAATAAAATGAAAAGCAACATTTTAAATGAAATAAAATGAAAAAAATTGTAAAACAAACACAGGATGCCATGGTGCCCATCAGTAAGTCCCCTTCAAGGCTTGACTGACAGGTCTATTGGCCATTCAGAGGTGAGGTTGCCCTGATGAGCAGCCTACTGGACCTGAAGTTGTGGGCGCCCCTGAGGGGGTGGGAGAGGGGCTGCTCAGAGCACTGACCGGGGTCCTCCTCAGGGCTTTGCCCTCCCAGCTCCCCTTAAAGAAACGTTCTGCATAAGGAAAGTCCATTTCACAAAGGGAATTTATATATGATCATTTGAAGTATTTCATCAATGTAAATTTAATAAAATTAAATAAGACAACATTTTTAATGGATAAAACAAAATGACATGAAATTCCCGAAAAATAAAACCCCAAATTACATTAAAAAAATGTTCACGGGACTCGAGATATAATCGCTTGAGTGTAACCCCTAGCCATGAGTTATAATACCCTTCACACAGAAAAGCAGAGGACAATGCATTTCCTTTGTTTTATATTTACAGGTTCAATAGATATTATCCATTCATTACGATCACTGTTTTTGCCATATCTGGAGTTATTATAAGAAACGCTGTTACAGATCTCCTTGAGCTCTTATTGACCTTCCAGGATTCAGTGAGCTCGCTGTAAAATGTAAACTGACTGTCAGCGCTGAATGGGCTGCTGTTTTCACACTTTGACATAATGTTTTCACGAAGGCTTCACATTACAGGACAGGTGTATTATGAAAGCAAATAGGAAGAGCAGGTGCTCATTGTTGCTAATGTTTCACTGTAATCACTTCAGATGAGATCACCACAGTGATAGCTGCTTCATTCAATAACAATGCAGCCTGTCGATCGGTTTTAACCATAAAACTCAACAAATCGGTTCTGTGCAAAATGAACACGGTGACTGTTGAGTAAAGGCAAATAAATGCATTTGTAATTGCTGTCCAAAAGCTTCTCAGCATTCAATCGAACATCACTTGACACGATAATGAAATGGGACCAGTGCCAATTAGTGCTGAGTGGACATCAAGAGCAGGCAAAGATGTCTCACTGCAGCATTTAATGGTACGCGTGCGAGGTGGCCAACAAAACAGTGATCCACAATGAGATTTACTAACAGTGACCCAGAGTCGCTAACAGGGAATCCTGCTATTAACCAGCAGTACATCCTGTCTGACTCACAGGAACTCTTCTCCAAAGAACTGAAAGTGAGACATCTCAACGACGTGATAAGACACTGTATGATATCCAAAAATTATTGTTATTATAAATAGATCGCAAGAACACCATTACAGTTGGAAGGTACATTTCACTGAACCTGCTCTGATTGTACAATACATTTTCCTCAACAGGTCAAGAAGCCAAGAAACACACCAGAAGTTCCCTTCACTCTTTAACAATCATTGTAGCGATCTCCTTGGCTCTGATTGTGTGTGTGCTTTTTTACTTTTGTTTCAGACGATGTTATCCACGAAAAGGTAAGTTTCTGTTTATTAAAACACAAGCCTACCTTTCTTGGCACTCTCTTGTTTGACACCCACTTCTGACCTGGATCCGGCTGTAGTATTACAATAGCCAAGTGAGATTGTCTGCACTTTCAATCACCTTTCCTCTCCCCACCACCCCTTGGCTCCCACTCCCAGCTCAGCTGCCCATCCAGCTCTGTAAATTGCTTTGAGAGTTCCTCCCAACATGAGAAGAGCTATATGAATGTAAATTGTAATTAATTGTATTACCGATAGCAATGCAAACACAGGCTTCTCATCATTACTAACACTGGTGCATGCACAGTCCTTCCTGCTAACTTTAATGCCAGCACAGTTGTATATACAGTAGTTCTTGCTTATTGAAATATCTGCTATTTAATGGTTTCATTCTCAATAAATTTATAGCTGTAGCATGATTAGATGAAACCTGTTTAACGGTGTGCTTCTCTTGCTTACAGTTATCAGACAGGAGCTGTATCACAGGTAAATCTTCCAACTTTCAATTTCGCTTAATTTTAGATATATAGAGTATACTTTTATGAGATCTCTGAGTTGTTAGAGAATATTGCAGCTAAGAACCATTAAAGTAAGATTTTACCAATTTTCACTAATTGCCTTTTTTGATGAGAGTTAATTGGTAAAATGTTTGATCTAATAAATCTGAATTAACTATTTCTTTTCAGTGGTGTGCATCAGAATGTGCATGTTGCATTAAGGAATATCACAAATTTGACCACTTCTTTTTTTCTGATGTGATTTATTTATCCTGACTCAGTTGGTAGCACTTTTGCCTCTGAGTCAGAAGGTTATGGGTTCGAGTTCCAAGTCAGGACTAGAACTCATATAGTCTTTGCTGACAGTCCAGTGCCGTGCTGAGGATGTGTTCCATTGTCGGATGTGTCATTGTTTGGTTGAGATGTTAAACTGAGGTCTCGTCAGCCTGTCCAGATAAACATTAAGGATCCCATGACACTATTTGAAAAGAGAAGGGAGTTTCCCCTGGTGTCTTGGCCAGCAATACCCCAAGTAAAATTGGTCGCTCACTCCATGGTTTGTGGGGCAACAATCAAAAAATTGTATTTATACATTGGGAGGATGTTCCCAAGGTGCTGGACAGCTCCCCTCCACCGCCGCGTCCCTCAAATATTATGCACAAATTGGTTCCCACTTTGGCCCACAAGATACACACAGTCATATCACTGTACGTCATGTCCTGTGAAATGCTTTGAGATGTATTGATGAAGTAATAAGATTCTATATTAATTATAAGAATTATCATCATAGTTAACTGCTGGATGTGATTATTTTCTTAAATTGTTTTTTTCTCTAAATCACAATCACTACACTTCATAGAAAAAAAATTGTGAAATACTTTGAGATGTTTCAACATTATTTATAGGAAAAGAATGAAATTATTATCATTATACGCACTATATTAAATACATGGATTATTTAAAAAAACAGTGACTTGGGCAGGTGAGACCTACAAAGATAAAAGGTGTAACCCACAAATATAGCAAGGCCTTCATGGCATAAAGTGGTTCTTTACGTTTTTTGGTGGCTTGAGTTGAACTTTTGAACATTAGGTTGCAGCCGCACCATACTACTTTACAGGATGACTAAACTAAATGGATATCATGAAAAGCAGCATGAGACAGGTGACTTTTAAACAGTAATTTAAGGTGGCAGCCAAAAACATTTTCAACTGGGTTTGAGCTCTACCATTTACTCAGAAGTCATTCCCCAATTCAGGAACGGAATGCACATTAGAGATGTTCTGCTTTAACCCCATTACAGGCCACTGGACTCATTTAAAAAGCAGTTTGATGCTTTGATGTGAGGACAGTAGTGTGGGTATTCTGAAGTGATGAGATCAGATGAGACAAAAGGTCTTCTTGATCTGAACTAATTTTGTGTTCTTGTTATCTTGAGATGGTAAGCTGTTGGATGGCTAAATCTGTTGTTCTCAATTCTGACTAAGTGCCTGTGTTAAGCTACTTCCACTTTTTTTTGATTGGGTTGCAGGTCACCAATAGAATACATCCGAGCACATGAAATGTCAGGTAATGCTCAGAACCAAGTAAATTGGTGCTTAATGGCTTGTCCTTATGATGAGATGTTAAACCAAGCATTAAGATTTCCTCTGACACAGCTTCCTTCAAAAATTAAGAGCCCTGTCTTAATCTATTTTATCTTAACTTAATCGACAGTACATATATAGTACCTTTGTAAAATGCTAAGTACAATACTCAAAGTAAAAGTAGAACAATAGTGTATGTGTCAAAACAGTGGTAGAAAAGGTTACAAGTTCCACATTGTGATGGGCAAGTTGAAGCCAGACACCGCAAAGTCTTTCTCTATACAGATGGCAGTCAACAGCTGGAATGGATGATCAGGATGATGCTTAAGGCTAGGACTCATTAGATTAATTTAAAAAAGACATGATACTGTACTAGAAGATGGTGGAGCTTCTCAAGCAGTGGCTGAAAATACAAGGCACCTTTGACTTTTAGAAGTCTCCAATATCTCACAAAGCAAAGTTCAGTCAATGGGATCAAACACATAGTTTGGATTTATAGTTCCTGGACAGGTAGCCCAATCTTTATTTTAGACCCCGATCCCTCTTTATAATTTATTTTAAGAATAGAGATGTTAAAGAACAAACTCTTCACATGCACTACTTTGTACCATTCCAAACATTCTAAATGTCACTCTTTTGTTTTCAGTGGCACATGAATCTTCAATGGATGATTATGGAATATATGAATTTGTGGCTGTCCCAGAACCAGCTCAGGTTCAACAGGTGGGTATCTCTGTCCCTCCGAGTGCTTAGAAACTCAGCATTCAGTTAAAGGTATACAGTTAAAGATGCTTCATGCCTTTCTACAGCAGCTTCCTTTCATTTTGAGAGAAACAATTCAATTCAACAAGTCAGTGAATTATTATCTGAAAGTGCTACACAGAATATATTGTGAATTGATCACCCCCAACCTCGCTCAACTTCACTGGCTCCCCATCCCTCACAGGATCCAATTTAAGGTCCTCGGCCTCACTTTTGAAGCCCTCCACAGTCTTGCCCTCCCTATCTCTGCAACCTTACCAACCTGCCCGCTCCCTCTGCTCAGCAGGCACTGGCCTTTCCGCTCTGCCATCAGCAGTTGGGCCTTTAGCCTTTCTGCTCCCACCCTGTGGAACTCCATCTCGGAGTCCCTTCACCTCACCCTCTCCCTTGCCTCCTTCAAGGCCTGTATTAACTTCTTCCTCTTTGATCACGCCTTCAGTCTTTCTCAAACTCCACTCCCCTTCCTCTCCACCTCCCTTGATTCAAACCCCCAGCTCGGGTGGAAACCCTTGACAGTCTAGTGCCTTGGGATGTCCTCCCAATGTGAAAGGCGCTATATAAATGCAATTTGTTGTTGTTGTTGTTGATGTAATGTGATAGGGTGTTAAATCAAATATAAGTATTATTATTATGTTGATGTAAATAAGCAGCTGTGTTAGTTATTTGTGTTGGTTTCTTGCTTACTTCTCAAGAAACAAGGGTTCAACAACAATGTGTTGCTCCTTTCAACCTCCATCATTCATTTCGATAATCCTTCCCTTCTTGACTCAGTGGAACGGGTTGGTGGGGTGGGGGGGGGGTCACTATCATTGACAAGTATTTCTGGACAAGGGTGAGGAAACATCAGCCAACAAGTCTTTGTTTTACCAAGGTTTCTGCTGCTTACTAAGCAGTGGCCCCTGTTATTAGAAAATGAACTTGAAGGAAACCTTGATTTCAAATCATAGCGTATCGTTCTGCAGCATCCGATTATACCCATAAATGTTTTTTATACATCGAGATTTTTTGTATTATAAAGTCAGCCTGTTCACATCACAGTAGTTTATCATTAATAATTGCACATTGTTAGTAAGTGGATGTTCATTTTTAAATTGCTCCTCTCACCTCAACAATAATGTAGCTGTAGGACCTGCTGGCTATTGTATTGTTAATGTTTGGGTAAGCGTAGGCGGAAGAGATGTGATGTGGCCATCATATCTCATCTGAGAAAAGCTACCTAGGGATTGTCTGTGAGATACATGCAACCTGAGCAACTAAATGTGCTCTGCATGTAAAGTTACAAATCTAATTGTTGAGGTATCCTGCATTATTCTCTTGATGTACTGGAAGCAAACACTGAATCAATTTCTCGGAAAGTTTTTATTTTAGTCACAGCACTAAGCAATGGTGGCTGATACAGTCCAATATGAACTGTTGCTATGGCTTGTTGCTCGGTTCCAAGTGGCTCCACTATTGCTATGTTCATTAGATATTATTTAATGGCGCATTGGGACACTTTTTAGTGGAAATTCCTTTTCATAAAGACTTATTAAGTACCCTCTTACTGTCATTCGGTCTAATTTACACATTCCTCCCTGTGATTTACAGTAACAGGTCAATGGATACAGCCAGTGATATAAAGAGTGATATAAAGCATGGACTGGTTCATTTTTCATTGTACTAAAACACTAAGAGATCATTTTGCAATACGTTAAATTCCAATTTGACCTTTCCCTTTGATCAATAAGAAGTCTGTTGTAATATATTTTGATGATTTAATGTATTCCAGGCTCGACCAGATAAATTAAGCACTGTGTATGACTTTATTCGAGCTCCAGATCTTCACACGACTATTTATGAAGTTATTTGCCATTCTCCAGAAACTTTCTGATGACCTGACCATCTGTCACAGTAGGTAAAAGTAATGCTGAATCATTATGTTATCTTCCAGTTCTTTATTTTGAACCGTATAGAGTTGAGATTGGTGTATACAAGTAGTTAGTCAGTTAGTCATCCACCCACTTCTCTCTTACTCAGCATCCAACCCTACCACTGTACAGCACTCCCAGATGCTCTTCTTCTTGAAGAATACTTTGTTGTTGTAGCTGTGAGAACTGTAATTGGTCCTTTGGGACACTTATGCTGCTTTTACATTGTGAGTTTGCCAGAGGCAAGCCACCTCCGAAGGCAACTCTGAAAGAGAAAGGTCCATTTCTCCCAGCCCTGAAATTGAGAACCCCCTTTTTGGAGTTGGATGTCCTGCTGCCTCCACATAGGTTGTTCTCATTCCATAATGATTTGACTCAATGACATTTTTTATGTGTGTGAACGTTTGATGCTATCAGTTAAATAGCCAGATAATGTCAGATTCCCTCACGCACATGTGAAAAGTCATAAGAAATTTAGTTTCCTGGTGACTGTTAATGAAATAATAACAGTGGAGTCAGAAATAAGGAGGGTAGCAAAGTCTTCTAATATTGTGTGTATCGTCTGACTGCTGCTATTGTTATTAGGAGAGCAGAAAAATACATGTACCTAATAGTTCTGCAAGGGCACGAGTGCCTGTGACATCAATGAGCTACTTACTTGTCTTCAAATTGCCTTTTACTGCCTTGAACCTATGAACCTTGAACCTCTACCCTCTTGTCCTACTGCCTTGGACTACCTGAAAGTATTCAGAAAGCCCCTTTGCCACAGCAACCAGAACTGTACGGGGTACTCTCCAGATACATCCAGACCAGGGCACTGGACAGCATGAGGTCAAATAGTTGATGAAGTCAGGTTCTCAAATCACTGCAGGACATGGGAGATATTTGGCTTCTGATTCCCATACACTAAATTTGTTGATATATGTCTGTCAGGTCAAGAATATGGAAAAAAATATAGTTAAATGTGTGTGTGTACAATACAATTTACATTTATGTAGCATTCTTCATGTCGGGAAGATGCCCGAAAGCACTTGTAAATGTATATTGAAAAATACACAGACAAAAAAAAATTGCTTTTATTAGAGAATGATGTTTTGTGGGTTTTTCACTGAATGATGTGGCAAATGTTTTGATATTCATTCCTGATTTTTAAACATGAAAATAGTATGACTGAGACACAGTAATTTCAGTATTGTAGCATAAAACCTGAACCTGAAAGTGGAAATGTTTTGCTTTAAATTAATCGGACCATACTTATCAGATGACATCACAAGCTCACAAGAAGTTTGAATGAAGAAGACCCTTCAGACCTCTGATCTCATCCCTCCAAAATACCTACCTTACTGTCATCCAATCTGTGTTTTTTTAAAATTAATCCAGTGTTGTAGCCTCAACCATCCTTCCTGACAATCTGTTCCAGTCATTTATTACCTTCTGGGTAAAGAAACACTTTCTGGTATCTGATCTGAAATTGTCTTTTGCAACCCCAAGACAGGACAAGCATTATTACTAAATATGTAACCTGGAGATAGATTTATATGTAACATAAAGAATGATTTAATTCCCTTGGGTTTGCTGCCCATTGATCTGTGTAGGTTGGTAGAGTAGTACCTGATGTTGAAAGTGCTAGTGGAATTGAAATAAAATTAGTCACTCAATCCATGGCTGTTTGTGGGATATTGGCAAATTGGCAGCAACAGTCCCCAACAAAGCAGTCACTGCACTTTATAGTATATCCTGCAAAGCACTTTGGGATATCCTCCTGATGTGAAAGGCGCTATATAAAATGTAAGGATTATTATAGGTGCTTGAATCAGAGCCAAGATATTACGGGTCTGCAAATGAACATGAGGTTCCCTGCTGGAAACATCAATTTACATCCAGTGTTGCTTACTTTAGACACCATTTAGCCAATTGAGCATTTATTCAACTCCAATGCACATGCACCTCCCTGTAACTTTAACTTAAAACAATCTGTTATTTTTCCATAAGAACGATCAGCCTGTGCAGCCAATTATATTTTCAAGGTATTTACATGTACAGTTCAATGTGTTCTAAGTACACTGGGCTATCAAACTGTAATTGTCACATATCCTTATTATCGTAACTTATATTTTCCTTATTCACCAGTCGGATACTACGTATTGGACCATATAAGAAAACTGAAGACAATCATGCAATGGCTGGCTAATTCTGCATTTTGACAACAAACACTATTAATTGCTGGCAGGTGCCTTGAAACAGAGCTTTTGTAGTCAAGAACTTTGCATTTTTGCATAAACATGCATTTATTTTTACTTATCTACAAAGTTCTATTGGTGTATCACTGTGGATTTTAAAAGCTTTGCAAAAATTCAGTAGATGACTAGCTTGGTGAAACAGTGTATTTTTATGATAATCTGTATTGATCAGTTCTGAGCTTTATCTGTGTAATTGTGTTTACCTTCATGTTTTCAAGGGTTCACTTTCTATAATCGAATTAAATCATAAAATGATGTGTAGCGCACTATCATATTATAAAAGGGAAAACACAAACTATGAACTGGATCAGATACAGTTATACGAAAGGAAGATCCCTGTTTCAGTCAAATGCTCAAAACATTGATGACAGACACGGGATATTTTTTCACAGTTCTATAAAATAGCATTTCCTTTCAGTCTGGGAGGTGGGTCTGAATCTAACCCAGACTGATAGGGTATAATTCTTTGCCTGGTGCCAGTGAGTTTCCTACATTAGCAAATTTGAATGTTACTGATTCCAATTCTCAGTTGGCATGTACTGCAGTGCCAAATAGTCCATTGTTAGATATTGATTGGCAGTATTTAAAATAATACCAACAAGAATAGTTGAAACAAAATTCATAATAGTTTAAAAACTAAACTGGAAAAGTATTTGAAAAATATTAACGGTTTGGGAAAAGGCCAGGGAAGAGATATTAAATGTATAGCTCTTTCAGAGCGCCAGCATAGTCATGATGGGCCAAACATAATAATAATAATCCTAGCATTTGGTATAGCACCTCCTGTGCTGTAACATTCTCTAATTCGACGACGAAGGTTGGCAAGGGAAACAGAGACATGACACTGGATGAGAAATGTAGAACAACACTGAGACCCCTGTCCTTGGAGAGTATGATATACATAAAAGGAAACAAAAGCAAAATCCAATATTCTTAAGCAGTTCTGCAAGCTCTCTTTAGAACTACCAAAGATTTCGCTTAATCATATATACATTATTTTGTACCTTTTAGAAAAAGTATATATAAAATGTAATAAGCCCACATTAACCCAAAGAACAATGCTTAACAGCATAACATTTTACAGAGCACAGATGCATTAAAGTACCTAGCTTCAGTGGAGGAGATAGAACCAACATATAAAGATTATAAATTGAATGGCTTCTATGCTTTAAACTTTCACTTCAGATGAGATGTTAAGCCAAGACCCTGCCTGCCTGTTCATGTGGATGTTAAAGATCCTATGGAACTATTTGAAAGGAAATGGAGTTTCTGGCCAACAATTTCCCAAATAAAATTTGTCACCCCTCCATGGCCTATGAGCAGAAACTGGAGTATATGGGACTTTTTCCACTGAACAAAGAAGGTATTTACCTGATAGAAGTATTTTGATAAAGTTAATAGTCAATTGGGAGAAATTATTTCCAATGGTAGGTGAGTCATAACTAGAATAACTTCCGATTCCAAGTGTGAAAGAGGTCCTGGATTTCTTTATCTCAAAGGTAAATAACATCTGCCTGACTGCCTCGTCTGGACTTCTCCACCGTGTTCGACACAGTCAACCATGCCATCCTCCTCCACTGCTTCTCCTCCCTCATCCACCTTCGTGGGACTGCACTCGTTTGGTTAACAAACTGCAAACAATACATCTCAACAAGTGTGTTTTCCTCCTGCCCTTGCCATGTCCAGCCTTGGCCCCCTTATTTTTCTTATCTATATGCTTCCTCTTGGCGATGTCATCCGCAGACATGGTGTCAACTTCCACATGTATGCGGTTGACACCCAAATCTACTTCTACTCCTACAGCTGAGGTTCCCAGTCCACTGATGTCCAGTCAGTTTGTTTGATGGACATCAAGGCCTGGATGAGTGCAAATTTCCAGCAGCTGAATGTTGGCAAGACGGAATATTACTCTTTGGCTCCCATCAACGTCTTCTCTCCTGCGAATTTGAGCTCCTCAACCTCCTTGTGCTCTCCCTCAGACTCACGAAACACATGCGCAGCTTAGGTTCGATCCTCAGCTTCCCTTTCTACCCCACATCCGTTCCCTGACCAGGACCATTTTTTTCCATCTCTGTAACATTGCCCGCCTCCTTACCTCACAACCAACGCAGCCGAAACCCTCGTCCACACCTTTGTTACTTCCCGGCTGGACTATTCCAATGCCCTCCTCGCTGGTCTCCTCAGCTCCACCATACGCAAAATCCAATTAATCTAAAATTCCGTCATCCGGATACTCATCTGCACAAAACTCTGTACCCGCATCACGCCAGTCCTTGCCAGGTTACACTGGCTCCCAGTTACTGAATGGATCGATTTCAAGATCCTTTCACTCATTTTCAAATCCCTTCATGCCCTAGCACCTCTCTACCTATGCAATCTGCTTACCCCCCAATCCACCACCCGCAGCCTGGCTCCAGCCTCCTGTTTGCCCCCGTCCCCTCAGCTCCACCATCAGTCGCCATGCCTTCAGCCACTACACTCCAAACCTCTGGGAACTCTCTCCCTTAATCCCTCCACCTTGTCCCCTCCCTCCCCACTTTCAAACCCGCCTAAAGACCTTCCTTTTTGATTGTGCTTACAGTCATCTTCCTCTCTTCCTGGCTCGGTGTCAGACTCCACCTCTGTCAAGTGCTCTGGTATGCTACCCCACGTGAAGTGCGCTGTATAAATGCAAGTTGTTGTTGTAGGTGACATCAATTTAAGATAGTTAGTAAACGAGCAAATGGGGAGGTTAGAAGAAATGTTTTTCACACACAAGAATAGTTAAGATTTATTCAATTTCCAAGTGATTACTTTAAAAACTGAAGGATAACCACAGAAAGTTTTTTTTTCAGCTTTGGGATAAGAATAGTTCACTGGGCTTTCCCATGCTGCAATAAGGAATGGTGTGGAGAAGGTACAGTATTTTTGCTTATTCAGATGAACGTGAAAGATCCCTTGGCACTATTTGAAAAGAAAAGTTTTTCCTGGTGTCCTGACCAACAATCTCCCAAATATAACTAATCATTCATTTCATGGTTGTTTGGCAGTTGGCTGCCACTTTTACCTACAAATACAGTTACTACACTATAGAAAATAAACTGTGAAAAGCATTTTGAGACGTTTCAACACGATAAAGCTCTATATCAAACACAAGTTCATAAGGTTTACATCTGGCTGCGTGCTCACCTGAAGAATGTTCTGATTGAGAATATACTCAGTCTTTTTCTGAATTTCTCTCATTCTGCTTTGTATTATTTATCAGCAAAGAAATTGGGGAGATCAGTTTTGTGGTTGTTTAATGAGAAGAAGGAAGTGCCTATTTTGAAAGCAGAAGAAAGTATTTCAGCAATTTAACTCACACATGCAGCATTCTTCCTACTTACTCCTCATACTGCTATACATTCGCTGCCAGTGATCATTCTAGCTCTCTATTAAATATGCAAGACAGAAATTGAGCACATATAATTCCCAACGGTGGTTTATGAATTTTATACTGTGAGAAAAGCCGGCTGCAATTCCAACAAGTAGTGAAGTCACAAGCTGGTTGGCCTTATTCCTAAATAAATATTGAAAACTAAAAATAGGAGCTGAGTATGTTATTTGTAGAATGCATGATTTAAAATATAGTTTTGTAAAAATGAATGTATTAAAGCAAGCAGTTTAAAAGACTAATAGGAAGAGAAATGAGAATGAAAGTGAAATTTTATTGCAGCTTGGATCTAAGGAAGTGCCGCTTTCTTGTCCACTTTTATAGATTGTAGATCTGGGGAAGAAGATAATTCACTTCATGGCTGAGATAATCACTACACTTTGCAGTAAATCCTGTGATGTGTTTGAAACGTGCTCTCCACATGAAAGGGATTATACCAAATGCAAGGATTATTATTAAAACTGCATATTATGGGATTATGTGAGTAAGGGACAACTTGCTGTAAAGTGTGATTTTTTACGTAATTATTTAAATATCTTCCAGAAGTTGGAATAGTAATTTATCTCCCATTGGTGATGTCATCTGCAGACATGGGATAAATTTCCACATGTATGCGGATGACACCCAACTCTACCTCTCTGCTTCCACCCTGAACTCCAGGACTACTGAGGTCCTGACCGACTTCCTGTCCGACATCAAGTCATGGACGAGGCCCAACTTTCTCCAACTCAATGTCAGCAAGACCGAGGCCCTCCTGATTGGCTCGTGCCAGCGCCTCCGCACCTCAGGCGCTGGCAGCATCAGCCTCCACGGCTGCACACTCAACCTCACTAAGCCAGTCAGGAACCTGGGTGTCTTGTTTGACCCTGAACCGTCCTTTCTCCCCCACATCCGCGCCATGACTGGCACTGCCTACCACCACCTCTGCAACATAACATAACATGTAGGAGCAGGAGTAGGCCATTCGGCCCTTCGAGCCTGCCCCGCCATTCAATCATGGCTGATCTTCTAATCTAGCTCCAGCTAACAACCTGACCCTGCCTTATCCCCATATCCCTTAATCCTTTTTGCAATAAGAAATCTATCTATCTCAGTCTTGAATATGTTCAAGGACTGAGCGTCAATAGCTCTTTGGGGTAGTGAGTTCCATACATTCACCGCCCTCTGAGTGAAGAATTTCTTCCTCAACTCAGCGCGAAAGGGCTGCCTCTGATTTTAAGGTTGTGACCCCTGATTTTAGTTTCTCCAACCAGGGGAAACAATCTCCCACTATCTACTCTATCATGCCCTTTGATGATCTTATGGGTTTCTCTAAGATCCCCTCTAATTCTTCTATATTCTAGAGATATAGGGCCAAATTGGTCAGCCTATCCTCGTAACTCATCCCCTTCATCCCTGGTACTAACCTAGTAAATCTATGCTGCAACCCCTCCAAGGCAAGTACATCCTTCCTTAAATAAGGAGACCAAAACTGCACACAGATTTCCAGGTGTGGTCTCACCAGGGCCCAATACAGTTGCAGCAAGACTTCCCTACTCCTATACTCTAATCCTTTCATAATGAATGCTAACATACCGTTCGCCTTCCTAATTGCAACATTGCCAGACTCTGCCACTGCCTCACCCCTCAGGCTGCCGAGCCCTTCACCCACTCATTCGTCACATCAAGGCTCGATTATGGAAATTCCCTCCTCCTCGGCCTTCCCAACTCTTCCCTTCACAAGCTGCAGATCATCCAAAACTCTGCAGCTCGTGTACTCTCATGCACCAGGATCCGTCACCCCATCACTCCCACCCTCGCCCGACTCCACTGGCTCCCCATCCCCCAGAGGATCGAGTTCGATATCCTCGTCCTCACCTTTAAGGTCATCCATGGCCTTGCCCCCCCCACCTCTCTGACCTGCTGACTCCCTACGAACCTCCCCGCTCCCTCCGTTCATCAGGCTCCGGCCTGCTCCATGCCTCATGCCCGACCCGCGCTACCATCGGTGGCCGGGCTTTCAGCCTCTCTGCCCCCACCCTCTGGAACTCCATCCCACGGTCCCTTCGCCTCGCTTCCTCCCTGTGCCTCCTTCAAAGCCGGTCTCAAGACCCTTCTCTTCAACTATGCCTTTGGTCTCACTCCCTCCTCTCCGCCTTCCCTCACCCCTACACCACCCCTCCCCCATGCTCGGGCCCCGACACCTGACTGTTCAGCACTTTGGGACGTCCTCCCGACTTGAAAGACGCTCTATAAATGTAATTTTGTTCTTGCTGTTATCTGACATTATGATATTCTGTTACATCAGTACTGGCTGATGTATACTGCACCCTTGGTATAAAAAGACATAGAATAAAGCACGAATGGGATTGTTAGAGAGACATCCGTTTAAAGGGATGATTCAGGTTATTTTGTATTGACTGTATGTTTACACTACTTTTAATAATAATAATGCTTGTATTTGATTACTGATTTTATGTCCAATCTAGTGAGTTTGAAGCCAATAAAAATGTGCTAGAAACCTGTTCCATCCTCACCGTTATAAGAAACTACCATATTGTATTTTGGAGTTTAATGCTATGGTTTCTTGCTGTTTCTATTACTTTAAATGTCTTTCAACAAAATTTGAGGACATTGCACTCATTGTTGCTGTCAAATTACTATTCCTACTTCTGGAGGAGATTTAAATAATTATGTAAATTATTTTCTATGAGGAAGGCACCTGGAAATGTAATGAAGTACAACATATGAAAAATATGTGCTTATGGTAACTGGGCTGAAACATGTATTCAAAGAATCAGTGTAATAAAGGCTGGATGGGTTTTGTTGTACTTGTAATACTATAGGAGCAATGTTGTTTATTTTATTTATTTTTATTCTTTATTTTTGTATGAGAGATTTATATGAAAGAATTCTGGGGAATATTAGGTGAAGGTGGTGAGAGCCAAGGATTGGGGACCCCAACTTATCTACTAGGATACCACTGGAGTTTATCCAGCTGTCTGACAAGCTTCCTCGTGGTTGCCTAGCTCAGACTGTTACCTATTTTGACTTCAGCTTGCAGGGTTAACAGGAGGTGAGAAAAAAAAATCCCTGCCTCCCCCCTCCCACCCCGTTCAGTGACTGGTGTGCATCTCTTAATTCCTGCAAATCAGCCAGGCTGGCTATTCTGCAGCACTCCAGGGCATTCCCAATATATTTATTTCAGTGTTGACAATAATGGAACAAACTAGTTTATTTTTGACTACGTACATTATGACTTTGAAAGACAGTGAAAAATGACTGAAAGATCATGCTTTAATGAGTTCAGATCAGTCACTAAAAATGGGAAGCTCTTCTCTCTCAGTTAATATATGATGCGTTTTCCAATTCAAACTCAATATGCAAATAGCTGGACATTTTAAATTCACGTTTCTGCCCTTTCCTTCTTCTGTAAGGTCACATATGACAAATTAAATAATATAATAACAAATGTAATAATAATCCTTGCATTTGATATAGCACTTTTCATATCTTGTAGACGTCTCAAAGCGCTTCACAGAATATGCTGTAAAGTGAATTGGCTGTATATTTGTGGGCGAAACGCGGCAGCCAATTGCGCACAGCAATATCCCATAAACAGTCGTGGATTGAAAATGACCAATTTATTATTGTTTTGTTTTGGAGGGATTATTATTAGGCTCTGTGTGGAGTAAGGAAACTTGCCCAAGGTTTCGCCCTGCCTGGAATTGAACCCAGATGTCTCGCTTGCAAGGCGAGTGCTCTAACCACTGAGCTACAGGACTCCACAAAATATACAATAAAGATGTAAGATATAAGTGCTCTGAAACGCTACCCCTCGTGATGGGAGCTACATAAATGCAAGTTGTTGTAGATATTGTTGATTCGATATCCCAAGTTTGAGGATGATACCAGGCTAGGAGGTATGGTGAATTGTGAGAATAATAATAATAATAATCCTTGCATTTGATATAGAGCTTTTCACGTCTTCTAGACTACTCCAGGATTAGGATCTGACACATACAGAAACCTATCACTATGGTTTACAATATTCATACTGACAGTTCCATACATGTAATGTACCTACAGATGGAGATTTCCCTGTGCTTGGAATGGAACGATGGTAAGAGACTACAGGAGGACTTAAATGGATTAGGGATATGGGCGCATGTGGTGTGACTGTGCATTTTGTGAGCGAAACAGAAATGTTCCACAAACAACAGCAACTTGCATAGTTATAGTGTCTTGGGCTGGAGTCCTGTGGCTCAGTGGTTAGAGCACTCGCTTTGCAAGCGAGAGACCTGAGTTCAATTCCAGGCAGAGGGCGAAACCTTGGGCAAGTTTCCTTACTCCACACAGAGCCTAATAATAATCCCTCCAAAACCAAAAACAATAATAAATTGGTCATTTTCAATCTACGACTGTTTGTGGGACATTGCTGTGCGCAATTGGCTGCCGCGTTCGCCCACAAATATGCAGTCAATTCACTTTACAGTGTGTTCTGTGAAGCGCTTTGGGACGTCCTCCCGACGTGAAAAGCGCTATATCAAATGCAAGGATTATTATTATTATAATGGCCATGGAGCCCCGGTGCACTCTGGGGGGTGTAGTTCAGGGGGGGGCGTGGCCCCGACTACAGATCCCGACAGGCATCGCGATCCCGATCACCTGACCCGCCGGCAAGATGGCGGCGGCTGGGGAGCGCCGCAGCGGCCGGTAACCAGGCAGCGGGATGCAGAAGATCAAGTCTCTGATGGGCCGTCAGGTAGGTCATCACTGCTCGGTGATCTCACCACCGCTACCGCTGCTGTCCTTCTGTCTGTGCTTCAGCCGCCAGGACTGGGGGCTCTGCCGCGAGAAGAGCATCCAGAGAGAGGGGCGGGGGAGGGAGGGAGGGAGTGACAGAGAGGGGGAGGGAGAGAGAGAGAGAGAGAGAGAGGGGGAGTGAGAGAGAGAGGGGGAGTGAGAGAGAGAGAGAGAGAGAGAGGGGGGAGTGAGAGAGAGAGAGGGGGGGGAGGGAGGGAGGGAGTGACAGAGAGGGGGAGGGAGAGAGAGAGGGGAGTGACAGAGAGAGAGAGAGAGAGGGGGTGTGAGAGAGAGAGGGAGGTGACAGAGAGAGAGAGAGGGGGAGTGAGAGAGAGAGGGGGAGTGACAGAGAGAGAGAGAGAGGGGGAGTGAGAGAGGGAGAGAGAGGAGGGGAGTGAGAGAGAGAGGGGGAGTGAGAGAGAGAGGGGGAGTGAGAGAGAGAGGGGGAGTGACAGAGAGAGAGAGAGAGAGGGGGAGTGAGAGAGGGAGAGAGAGAGGAGGGGAGTGAGAGAGAGAGAGAGAGGGAGTGACAGAGAGAGAGAGAGTGACAGAGAGAGAGGGGGGGGGGGGGTGAGAGAGAGAGAGGGAGAGGGGAGTGACAGAGAGAGAGAGAGAGAGAGTGACAGAGAGAGAGAGAGAGAGAGAGAGAGAGGGAGTGACAGAGAGAGGGAGGGAGAGAGAGGGGGAGGGAGAGAGAGAGAGAGAGAGAGGGGGAGTGAGAGAGAGAGAGAGAGGAGGGGAGTGAGAGAGAGAGAGAGAGAGAGTGACAGAGGGAGAGAGAGAGTAAGTGACAGAGAGAGAGGGAGTGACAGAGGGAGAGAGAGAGTGAGTGACAGAGAGAGAGGGGGAGGGAGTGACAGAGAGAGAGGGAGGGAGTGACACAGAGAGAGAGAGTGACAGAGAGGGAGAGAGTGACAGAGAGAGGGAGTGACAGAGAGAGGGAGGGAGTGACAGAGAGAGAGAGAGAGGGAGTCACAGAGAGAGGGAGTGACAGAGAGATAGAGGGAGTGACAGAGAGAGGGGGGGAGGGAGGGAGTGACAGAGAGATAGAGTGAGGGAGTGACAGAGAGAGGGAGAGGGAGTGACAGAGAGAGAGGGAGGGAGTGAGAGAGAGAGAGGGAGTGACAGAGGGAGAGAGAGAGAGAGAGTGAGTGACAGAGAGAGAGGGAGGGAGTGACACAGAGAGAGAGAGAGTGACAGATAGGGAGAGAGTGACAGAGAGAGGTAGGGAGTGACAGAGAGAGAGAGAGAGGGAGTGACAGAGAGAGGGAGTGACAGAGAGAGGGAGTGACAGAGAGAGGGGGGGAGGGAGGGAGTGACAGAGAGAGGGAGAGGGAGTGACAGAGAGAGGGAGGGAGTGACAGAGAGAGAGGGAGAGAGTGACAGAGAGAGGGAGGGAGTGACAGAGAGAGGGAGAGAGTGACAGAGAGGGAGGGAGTGACAGAGAGAGAGAGGGAGGGAGTGACAGAGAGAGGGCACGAGAGAGAGACAGACCGAGAGAGTGTGATAGAGATTGAGAGACTGAGCTGTATAACAACAACAACAACAACTTGCATTTATATAGTGCCCTCCACGCCGGGCGGAGTCTCAGAGCCTAAGGCCGAGCCAGGGTAGGGGGGGGAGGTGACCGTAGATGCGGTCGAAAAGGAAAATCTTCAGGTGTGACCTGAAGGGGAGCGAGGAGGTTGGAGAGATAGGGGGCTGCCAAGGAATGGAGGGATTTAAACACTAGAGTGAGGATCTTGAAGTCAATCCGCTCTGTGCCGGAGCCAGTGGAGCTTGGCAAGGACTGGGGTAATCGGGGTATGAAGTTTGATGTGGGTGAGAATGCGGGCGGCGAAGTTTTGAAAGTTGGATTTTGTGAATAGTGGAAGAGGGGAGACCGGTGAGGAGGGCGTTAGAGGAGTCCCGCTGAGAGGTGAGTAAGGCATGGACAAGGGTTTCGGCAGCTTTTGGGGTGAGGTATTGTCAGAGGCGGGCAATGTGGCGGAGACGGAAGAAAGCGGTGCTGGTCAGGGACCGGATGTGTGGAGGAAGGATAACGGGATTGAACCTGACGTCTAATAGACAGTGCCGGATAGAGAGTGAGAATGTGATAATAATAATAATAATCCTTGCATTTGATATAGCGCTTTTCACGTCGGGAGGACGTTCCAAAGCGCTTCACAGAACACTGTAAAGTGAATTGACTGTATATTTGTGGGCGAACGCGACAGCCAATTGCGCACAGCAGTGTCCCACAAACAGTCGTAGATTGAAAATGACCAATTTATTATTGTTTTTGGCTTTGGAGGGATTATTATTAGGCTCTGTGTGGAGTAAGGAAACTTGCCCAAGGTTTCGCCCTCTGCCTGGAATTGAACTCAGGTCTCTCGCTTGCAAAGTGAGTGCTCTAACCACTGAGCTACAGGACTCCACGATAGAGATAGAGTGATACAGATAGAGTGAGAAACTGAGAGAGAGAGAGAGAGAGACACACCACACATACACAGGCTGAAAAAGTGTGATAGAGTGAGACTGAGAGAAAGAATGTGACAGAGAGAGAAAGACTGAGTCAGGGTGTGAGAAGGGAAGAGAAACAGACACCATGTGAGAGAGTGAGAGAGAGAGAGACGGACAGAGTGTGTGAGAGACAGACAGTGCGTGAGAGAGAGCGAGACACACACAGAGTGTACCCCATACGGAAACCCATCACCATGCTTAAGAGTATCCAAATCAGACTGAGTTTCACATATGTGTGCAATCCACAGATGGGAATCTCCCTGTGCCTGGAGTTGAATGCACACCCTCCCTGGAGGGAGATACACAGAGTATTAGGTACAAGTTGGTTTAGGGATTCCAGAGTGTGTATATAATTATATTCACATAACGCCTGGAGTTAAACCAGTTTGCCATTGAGATCACTATCCAACAATCTTCCTGCTGCTTGTCCAGAAAGCACAACCCTAACCAATAGGGTTTTGGCTTGCACAGAGGTTTGAACTACCCAGGAGAGATAAGTGGGGTCCCATTGGAGCTAGCTGACCCCAAGATGACATGCTTGGTAACGGAAACTCGTAATAATAATAAAATGGAGTTAACCCTCTGTGGGGATCTCTGTAGTCTGGTTCCTGAGCCAGGTGGGTCTGCTGTACTTCATAGCACTGCTGCTGACAGTCGAGCCAGCCTGGCTCATTGGCAGTTCTTGGAAGGACAGGCCAGTTAGTGGGAGCAGGCATTCTTCCCACTCAGCTCCTATTAATTAAAGGGAGGTACAAGCCAAAGATAGCTGGTCAAGCAATGGGAAGCCTGCCAGATAGTGCTCTGGATAGCAAGCTACTATATTTGAACTGCACCCCAAAGCACACGGTGGCATCCCCAGGCCTGGTCTCGCCAACCGTCTCCGGAATTATATAAGCAGAATGTATCTCTCCAAAGAGAGAGTGCGCATTCCCTTCCAGATACAGGGTTATTTCCATGGGTAAGTGACATACATACATGGAACTGTTTGAGTACTATTTTACGCATTGTAATGTGTCAAGCACTTAGCTGACCCAAAACAAGAAGATTGACTTGATTCCAACATTTCTTTATCAAGGAGACACCACTCAACCCACCCCAGATAGTCCTTAGAGTGCGTGTGAGTGCGCATAACACACTTTTAATTGTCGAGCTTGTTAGTCTACTTTATTACTGAAACTTGGAAGTCAGACATGGCTTTAACACTGCAAACCAAATTCCCATTGCAAGGGTGCCACTGAACTGTGTCATTCAGGTATCTAGTCAGCAAAGTGTAGTAAACCAGTTGACTCATTGTAAAATTAAAACTATAGAGGAATTAGGAGATATGGGGATAGGGCAGGTAATTAGAGTTAGGTCAGAAGATCAGCCATGATCTTATCAAATGGTGGGGCAGCTCGAGGGGCCGAATGGCCTACTCCTGCTCCTAATTCTTATGTTCTTATGTTCTTATGCAACAAAGTGAAGATTGACTTATGCAAAAATATTTCTGTAATGTCTCACGACTAGATACATTCTCTTTGCAGAATATCAGTCTTAACCCAGTTCCATGCTTTTTGCGATATGAAGACATCCTCCCGACGTGAAAGGCGTTATGCAAATGTAATTTTGTTGTTGTTGTTAATGCACAATTCATCTCTAAATTGGTACAGATTAATATTTAGTTTTTGTACTGCTTAATGAATGGAGGTTAAAATTATTGTGCATAAATTCCTAAGTTATTCTATACTGTGATAAATACTGTATTTTTAAAACTTTTTAATTGCAGGGCCTGAAAAGCCCCCAGGAAAGTGTGCCAGAGATTAAATCTCCACTTGAGAATTTTCGGATTCCCAGCAAGGTACTGTTTAAATATTTTGTATGGTGCAGCCCTGCTATATAATAATATAGTACAATTTACCCCTGTATAGCACGTTTCACATCTGGACGACGTTCAAAAACTATAACGTGAATTGCCTTATAATGTGGTTGTATTTTGTTCCCAAACGGGGTTGTACTGTAGATCCCGTTCATTGCATGTGTGCTCAACCTCCCTACTGGACCCATTATTCATTAGGTTGCTATCGATGTTGTATTCTACTTCTGCAGGTGCACTCCCGCTGGTTACACATATGTAGTCAAGTCACTATCGCCCCTTGCTATAATGCAGTTTGGGATTTTATGGATCCTAAGCACCAGGTTATAAAGAGGCTCCACGGTATTTGGAAACTATGTTCCGTATCATGTTATGTGTTTGATGCATGTGTGATATGCTTTGTGATGGCCATTCTAAGATACAGTTTCCTTCCTGCAAGTCTTTATGCAGTCAATCCTCTGTTAAATTGATGTAAAGCATTCTATGACAAAATAATCATAGAAATAATAAAATAGCATAGATTTATACCCTACACCAATAAATATTCAATGAAGAAACATTTATTTGGGAGCTCAGAAGGCTGATGGAGGACAGGATAAAGGTATATAAGAGGATGGGAGGCTTTAATAGGGTGAACAGGGAAAGATTATTTCCAGTGGTCAGGGGCTCTAGAACTAGAGAGCATATTTTTAAAATCATAACTGGATGGTCAGGAACAGATATTAGGAGGAACTTTTTAACACAGAGTGGTGGAAGTGTGAAATTTTCTGCCACAGTTGTTGTTGTAGCAGCCATGTCACAAGGTTGAGGCAATAATATAATAATAATCCTTATCACATTGTTGAGACGTCTCAAAGCGCTTCACAGAGTACACTGTAAAATGGAGTGACTGTATTTTATGGGCGAAACGCGGTAGCCAATTACTCACAGCAGTCTCCCAAAAACAGTCATGGATTGAGTGATCGCATTATTATTTTTTGAAGGGATTATTACTCACGGAAAGCGATCTGCAAATCGACTAACAATCAGGTTTCTACCTACTGCTAGGTAAACAGAAGCGTGTGTGTGGAATAAGGAAACGTAAATTGAAGGAAATGGCAAAAAGTGTGTTATATGGTACTTGAGATAGGATCTAAGATGGGCACTGGATTGTAGCTTCTAAGAATCTATAAACCGAACCATACAACAACAACTTGCATTTCTATAGCGCCTTCCACGCCGGGCGGCGTCCCAGAGCGCTTAACAATGGTGGAGTCCAATGCTGAGCCAAGGGAAGGGGGAAGGTGATCATAGGCATGCTAGGGGGATGCCAAGGCATGGGGGATTTAAACACTAGAGTGAAGATCTTGAAGTCGATGGAGTTTGGCAAGGACTGGAGTAATCAAGTCCGCAGTTTACTGCGGGTGAGAATGCAGGCATTGGAGTTTTGAACGAATTGAATCTTGTGAATAGTGGAGGAGGGGAGACCGGCGAGGAGGGCGTTTGAGCAGTCCAGCTGAGAGGTGACGAAGGCAAGGATAAGGGTTTCGGCAGCTTGTGGAGTGAGGTATTGTCGGAGGCGGGCAATGTGGCGGAGGTGGAGGGGAGCGATCATGGTCAGGGACCGGATGTGGGGGAGAAATCAAACCTGACACCTAAGTTGCGCATGGGTTAAGAAAGTTTTAAAGACAGATCGGGTAGATTGAGAAGGTCTGAACCGCAGGACAGAAGACGTGGACGGGAGCCAAAGAGTATGGCTTCCGTCTTGTTGACATTTAACTGCAAGACGTTTGCACTCATCCTGGTCTTGATGTCTGTCAGACAAGCTGACAGAACATCATAGGACTGGGGATCACAGTTGGAGGGGGAGAAGTAGAGTTGAGTGTCATCTGCATACATGTGGATGTTAACCCTGTGTCTGCGGATGACATCACTGAGATGGAGCATTTGTGAGGAAGAAAAGGGGGCCTTGGGGTAAGGGGTAAGAAGAAAAGTCATTTGCGGAAATATAGTGCTGGTGGTTTGTAAGGTAGGACTCGAACCAAGTGAGTACGGTCCCACTGAGATTGATGATGACGTTCCTTGCAAAATATTGTGACTTATTTACACCTGCCTTATTGGGAACTTTTTTTTAACTAAAACAAAATTCTGAATTTTCTTATAATTCATTTCACCAGATTGTTTTATAGTGAATTCAGAAAAAAATAAAGCCGGGGAATTGCGATCCCCTATAATTATATTCAAATAACTCCAAAGATACATTTTGGTTACTGTGAAGTGGAAGGAGGAATCAAGGTACTATACAAAATATTGACCAATATTATACTTTAAAATAGTCTTGTCGGTTCTGAGAAAACCAAAACAAGCCTCTGTTGAGAATTGTGGACAATCTTACCCATTCACAAGCAAATCTGTTGTGATTTGCCACGGTCAGCAGGCTCAGATGGTGGCGCTGTAGCATCGCATGTAGCCAAGTGGCGGCGGGAAGAAAATAAAGAACACAGACAAAGCTAAGCCGCGGCAACAACAACAAAATTACATTTTTAAAGCGCCTTTCACGACAGGAGGACGTCCCATTGATTATAAATTATACATTTATATTTATCATTATGAAGATGCCTAAGTGAAAATCAAACTTTTAAATGATGAGTAAGTGTGTCTGTTGTGTGTCAATCTGCATTCCATATTGGATCCTTTGGTTGCAAGTGTAGTTGCAATGGGTACAGCTAGTTTGATATAAGGCCTTTAATGTCGAAGCATTTTAGTGGTTCACAGATACTTTCTGTCAATTGTAGTAATGACTTTTATTTATCTAGGCAAATGTGACAACATTTGCATGCAGAACGGTCCCACAAACAGCCATGAATGAAGTGAATGATAAATTTAACCAGATGATTGTTGGCAAAACGCTGCTCAATACTATTCACTTTTTAACTAGTGTGATGCGTTCTTTGATATTCATCTGATCAAGTGGATCGGCGTTGGTTTGATGGATTGCATCTCCAACAATGTTGTGTTCCCTCAAGACTGAACCAGAGTGTCAGCCTACAGTGTGAAGCTAGACTCAAAAGTCCTAAACCTTCTAACCAGGGGCAAGAGTGCAAGTAATTGAGCAGGAGTTGTGTACAATGTTGTAGAGGCATGACCAGAAGCCATTCCTCTACAGGATTGTGACTGGAACAAATTCAAAAGTATTGCTCTAGGTTGAGCCACAATGATGCCAGAGACTAGTTTCTTCCCTGTAGAACTGGTGAAGAGACGTTCTGATGCAGAGTTAACTGTCATTCACTTGATCAACCTGTGCTGGGCTCTGAGATGCTACTTGTGTGAAGGGTGCTTTTTAATTGCAAGTCGTTGTTGTTGTATTGCTACAAACTATATTTGAGCGTGAGAAATTTGTCACTTGTTTATTGCCAATTTCTTCATGTCTCCCAGTGCTCCAGCAAACAACAGTGTCAAATTTATGAGCTCTCTGCTCTTATTGAAGTTGTTTTTGGCAACACTTCACAAATTAATCTAAAAAAAACTTTAGGGAAATTATGCAGATTGTGGGAATAACATAATGTTTATAAAATGCATATAATTTTGTGTTATTCAAATGAAGGGATACCAGCACTTGAAAGTGTCATTTTAAGCTTTTGGATTTAGACAGCAGATTTTCATTTATCCTGCCAAAATTTTGCAACTGACGAGTTGAACCGTTGCAGAGGACATCGCCCTCTGTTGTGTCAAAATTCTACACCAGGCTTTAAAAACAATTTATAGCTTTAAAGATACAACTTCTGGAACATAAATTATGCATCACTATTAGGATGCTTCTTTAAAAGATAATGAACAGAAACTATTAGAGGCATAGCTAGATAATAATCCTTGCATAGGATGGCATAGGAATGCTGTGTTTGGTATCAGGATTTAAATTAGCTCCCATATAAACCTAATTAATTGGTCAATTTTGTATCCTACAGTAAACCTCGGATAAGTCTGATCTGTACAAATCGTCTATTTGCCTAAATCGTACATCTGCCCAAGTTTTGACACAATTTCTTATTAAATCCACTTAAATTTAAATGCAAAAGTCATATTATCAACAGTGTAACTTGTACCGCACTTGCTCACTTACCGGCTGGTCAAAATTTCATTCCCCGGGCTTACCCCAAACATGCATGTGCACACCGATGCTTAGTTCTCAGCACTATTCTTGTAGCCATCGGGCTGTGCTCCAATCATAACATGAGTGGGCAGAGTTCCCATTCATAATACACAAAGGTGGATTCCTTTAACTAACACGTAATCAGGTGATGCTCTTTCCTCTTTCAGCCGTCCCCCACCCTCCCACTCCCAGTTGCTGTGCACGGTGATGTTGATGTTACGTGGAGAGTGCCAGGGTGGGAATTTGTGATGTTCTGTTTGAGGTAGGCAGGGAAACAGAGTTTTGACCCGTCAGTCAGTATGTTCGGTAGCAGCAAGTGCAGCAGCGGCCAGTGTGATAAAGTGCGATAGAGGTGTTACGAATTGCGCAATTGTTATTATGACTAGTGCAGATAAATTTAAGTGGATTTAATAGGAAATTCAATGGGATTTGGGCAAATGTACAATTTAGGCGATTATACGATTTATAAAATCAGACTTGCATGAGTTTTACTGTACTACATTCCTGGTATTTTGATTATGGTAGTTTTCAGGATTTAGTTTAAACTATTAGTGGATTCATTGATGAAAGCTACTAAAGAATCCTTTTCTCTCATTTGACTTAATCATTCTGTCTTTATGTGAAGTTCATTCTGTGTGTTTTGGCTGCCTTTAGTCAACATTATATTTGCTGAAATACTTGCTTTTCTTACAATTTTACCTCATTTAGATGGAACGTTGAAGCCTTTAAATAAATGATGTAGAGTGTGTGATCAAGGGTAACAACAACAATTAACAACAGCAACAACAATAACTTGCACCTTTCGTGCTGGTTAGCGCGGAGTGTTTACGATGTCTGTGGAAGGAACTGACATAGAGGCTTGAATTCAATGAGCAAGGCCCATCATTTCTGGTTAATGTATGTTTTGCCTTTGTCATTCTTCATTTTCATAGTGTAACAGGACGAATAAATGCTCATTCTGTATCAGAAAACAGAATTAGAAACTGCAAGTGACTGTTAGAGTAAAGAAGCCACTTACTTGTATTCTGAAATGATAGTTTACTTTTGAAGCAGAATTTGATTGCCTTTTTATTCCTAGATTCAAATTGGGAATGGTTACGGAATTTCATTTTAGTTTGTATTTTTTCTTTCCCTATATTGGTTTACCTTAACGGTGCAAACTTTGAAGTTTAAGAGCTTCGTTAACAATAAAACTAAAAAGTCAAAGTACCTATCTCCCCAATGTGGCAATGTTCCAGGCCTGATTATGCAGTCACGGGGAAGTGTTGAATTAAGGTCAAATACCATCTCCACAGGGAGAGAATGTCAGAACCCAAAGTCGGTCTGTGGCAATTTCTACACATTACCTGCAAGCTGGTTCATGAATAGCATAATCCGTCAGCTGAGAGCAATTTATCTGCACTGCCCTCATTTTGCCCTCTTCAACCCCCCCCACCCCCTCCCACTATCACTTTTGTTTTGGGAAAAAAATGTTGCATAGTACAACTTAATTAGCAAGAAGAGAAATTCTTGATATTTTGGACAGGTAGCCAGAAGAGGATGAGATATTTTAAAGGTTACATGTTTAGCGGTGTGGATTAATGGCCAGGCTTACCAATGTTGGGGCTGAGGTTGGTGAGGCAATGGTTGGTTAAGCTAATCTGAATTTGGGGGATAAATTGAGATTTTAACTGGTGAACACATAATTAACAGCAGTAAACAAACTTCATTGTGTTTTCTGCATCAGCAGCTTCTTCTCAGGAAACTAATGATCCTCTCAGGGAAACTGCATCCTTCTCTTCATGGTGGCATAAAACAACACTGCAGCCAAATATTAAACTTTCCTGCTACACTTCCTAGTTTTTATTTTCAATAAATAAAGAACTGTATTGCAAACTTTGTTTTCTCTGTACACAACTGTTATATAATGCTAATAGCGTTGAATACTTTGGCTTTGAAAGAGTGCTTTGGTTTTAAGGAGGAAAGTGGTGCAATTAGAAAGTTTTGTTTGCAGTGATATTAGCTGTACTAATTGAATGTTGACCTGTTAATTACAAAGTCCCATTAAGCAATACAGTATGTTAAGATGATCCTTTGTTATGTGGCAGAATTTCACAAGTAATTTTGCCACTTAACCCAAGATAATGAATAAGTGTTCAAGATGTCTGAATTGTGAGACTATTTAATTGTTGAGACTCATAATACAACAAAAAAATTACATTTGTATGGTGTGTTTCACATTGGGAGGACAATACAATAGAAATTGACACTTATATCTCATCTTCCAAATTGGGAGGACGTTCCAAGGTGTTGAATAGTTTGCTGATGTGGGGGTGTGGGGGGCGGGGGAGGGGGGAGAGATGGCTCAAAGCACCATCAAAGAGGAAGGTCTTGAGGTGCACCTTGAAGGAGGCAAAGGAAGGGGCAAGTCAAAGGAACTCCAGGATGGAGCTCCAGAGAGTAGGGGTAGATAGGCTGAAAGCTGATGGTGGGGCCGGGAGCAGAGGAAGCAGCTGGGCTGGTAGGGTTTGAGGAGCCCGCAGAGGTCGGGTGGGACAGGTCTATGGTAGTATTTAAAAGTTAGAATTAGGATCTTGAACTCCCATCTGCTGTATAATGGTAGTGCAGTTTGAGATCTCTAGATGGCAGTGTGGCATCAGAAATAGAAACATATGGCAATATGCAACCACGTGATGCTGAGGAAGAGTTTCTGTAATGTACTGAATGTCTGAACAGTGGTCTGATTTAGTAGAATTTGTCTACAAGCCCAACATCTGTATTCCTGCTGGTTTGGAAAGAAGCCCAGTTACGATGAGGCAGTTTTCTGATCTGATGGGTAGGTGAAGAATTATTTGACTGCGTCAACATAGGCCATGTTTAGAAAACCTGAACCAATTTGAAGTCCTTGCTTGTAAAGTCGTCAGTCGAATAAGACTTCCTTTCTTGTCATAACAGCCATAAAGAATAGTCCAATTCTTCTCCAGAAATGCACCACAATCTCACACCAATCACAATATCAAAATTCAAAAGTTTGGAGAGAGCATTATGTTTGTGACATTTTGAAACAATTTATAACTGGTTTAGTTTGATGGTCAAGAATAGACTGAGATGATGCATTCCTCAGTTTCAACACATCCAGATGTAGAAGAAATCTTGCTACTCTGAACCAAAAATTCACTTGTGCCTCATAATATATCTCTTTGGTGTGCTATCCTGATGCAGAATGTGTTTCTGTTCTGTGCTGTGCCACTGCAGATAAATTAACACATTTGAGAGTACCAATAATGTGCTTTTTCCACCAAAATGATATAAGAATTTTTATTAGGATTGTACTTCACTTCGCAAACTAGTTAATAATTGTGATTTTTTGTTCTATTTTACAAAAAAGTATGTCTGAATTAATTGACTTGAATGCGAAATGTTTCATGCTTTCATGCCAATACTTATTATTGAATAGAGTACACCCATAGCTTTGAATTTATTCGTGAAATGGTAGCTTCATGAAGGGAATTCAGACTTTAAAAACTTTCATGACTTTAACCATTATTAATCTGCCAGATACATTTTTAAACATAAATAGTAAATTTATATTTATATATGTTATGCTGCGCGCAAACTGGCTGCTGTGTTTCATCCGCAAAATACAGTCAGTCCACTTTACAGTGTATCCTGTATCTCGATAACGTGATAAGGTGCTATATCAAATGCAAGGAGTATTATTATTATCATTATGGAGTAGGTGCCCTTTGTGTCTGCACTGTTTTTCTGTAATACTGGTTATGCAGCTGTGTGTGAGAGATATCTGTATTTTTTCCACAGCACTCCTGATCACAGCAAAGGAAAAAAAAACGAATATCAGAGCCAACTACATTATTGTTGAAGCACATATAGTCTGTTTTATAAAGTCTGTAATAAACTCTGCACCCCATACTGCAATAGGGAGCTCTACTGGCTCCCTATTGAAGAATGGATCGATTTCAAGATCCTCACACTTGCATACAGATCACTAAATTCCCCAGCATCTATCCACCTCTCTGATCTGCTTAAACCCACTCCACTACCCGTCGCTTTCGTTCACCCGGCTCTGGCCTTTTGCACGTCCCTCCTTTGCTTTACCATCAGCAGCTATGCATTAAGTCACTGGACCTGAGACTGGAACTCTGCCTCAATCCATCCATCTGTCTCCCTCCTTGTCTGTCTTCAGATCACTCGTGAAGATCTTTCTCTTCGACCATACCTACGATCACCTCCCACCTCTCCCTAGGTCGTTGTTCATCTCTGCCACTTTTAAGCGCTCCGAGACACTACCCTGAGTGAAAAGCACAATGTAATGGAAGTTGTTTTTCAATTGATTGTTTCTCTTTAAAGCATAGTGTAAATGTTCAAATTGAACTGGAATAAATTTAGTGCAAAATGGATTTTAAATTAATTAATGAGTAGTGATAACACTGTCGGCAACAGAATGTTTTATACAAAGATTATCCCTATAAAGGTAACTTTTTTTAATATAAATTTGCAAAATGTGATTTCTTTTTAATTTTATGTTTTGTTAAGGAGGAATTGAGAGAATTGAGAGAACATCCCAGTGATCCTCAAGCAGAGCAAGAAATAATTAATAGCATTGAAGAAATTTACTTCAGCAATGATTCCTTTGATGTTGTCCAGTATGAGCTGGAGGTAAGTATATCATGCAATTTCCTTGAATAAGTTTCCTCTTTTTGAATGTGCTTCTCCTGAAGCTATGCAAGACGTTTCTCAGTTGCTCAAGACACAGAAAGGCTTGAGAGAAGAGAGTATGTCAGATGAGATTGACTTTCAGATAGATTGAATCGAATGGTTGCCAGGGAAGACATAATTTGTCTGTGATGGAGCTGTTGCTATGATATTCAGGGTGGATTGTTAATGTAAATTAATGTTCAGCCTTGCATTTTCTTTGTGAAAGCCAGATTGATGGATTAGCCAGTTGCAGCCAGTGTGAAATCTCATTAGATTTAGCAGTGACTTTTCTACTTGAACTGAATAAGAATGTAACAAAGAGCAAAGATATAGACTGTAATAGGTTCCCATTTGCTGATATTCCAACCACTTGATAAGATGCACAAGAATATAAACGTAAATTACACAGAGTAAAGATAAAATTTTGCTGTTTAATATTGCTTTGCATCCCCTTCATATGTATCGTGCTGAGAATAAGCCTTATAAAATCTACAGTAACAGATGATAGCCCCCAGCACAAGTGTGTTGATCATCAAGCATGTTTCCAATGTACCAGCAATTGTGAATTAACTTTTAAATGTAATTATGTTGACTGGTTAATCATTCACTGACTTTTTTTACTGTTTGTCCACAGAAGCTCCCCCTTACACTCAATCTCCAAGACCTAGAGGAGCACAGAGACAAACTGAAACAGCAGCAAGCTGCTGTAGGTTTGACCTTTCTTATACTCTGCTTTGTGACATGCCATCAAATCCTATAGTTGTGGGTTGCAAGAAGTCTCTAAATTCATTATTTAATGTTATAGAAACATGCATAATGTTAATAATGAGCTCTTTAACTGTGTACATGGTGATCAAATGACCTTAGTGGCAACTAACCATTTTAGCATGCAGTGTGGTACCTTAGTGTTCTAGTTGAACTCTGTGGTGGGAACATTGGTTCATACCCCTGATGCCACTTGAGAATTTACAATTTTGACAGTTGTGTCAGGAAAAACTGCATTAAAAACAGGAGTTTCCTCCATTATTGTTTCTCACAACGAGGACAAAAAATGTAAAGGTGGGGGGGGGGGTGCGTTGACCCTCCTGAATGCTGTCCTATTTGATGCAAGTGATACTGGGACAAGATTAGGAAGTGGCTGCAATAGTACAATCTATATTCCAAATTGTGATAGTTCAGCATTTTAATTTGATCTGCTTAATCTTGTGAACTCTGAATCAGAGCTACAGAGTGGGTGATTATTAAAACTACGCTGTAGAAAAAATGCTTATATTGCTTTATCAAGAGTGAATGAATGTTGGCAGCTTTTTGCTTTTCTTTACAGGTATCAAAGAAAGTAGCAGATTTAATACTTGAAAAACAAGCTGCATATGTGAAGGTAAGGCACGTGGGCTGCAACCAGTGAACAAAAGTCTAAATGGAAGTGGCATTGATGTGTGGTGCCGTAGTGGTGTGATCTTTCATGTTCCTGTGTTCACCTCAGCTTCACCACCTTGTTGTCTCTGAGGGTCATCCAAAGTATTACTGGATGGAACTTCAGTCCTTCTCAGGAGTTTACTCCAAAAACACATAAGTACAGCTTGGAGATGTATGGCCAGAGGAGACTAGGAAAAGAGGGTATTAACATTAAAAAGGCTCATTGAAGATGATATGTTGTTAGGCTGAGCTCCTAAGTAATTAGTTCATACAGATGTAGACCAGGTTTGGAACATAGCTGATCTAAGCTTGGCAGCAATGAGGTACTGCAGTTGGCTTCAGTGATCCTGGATTGGAGATGAGAGGAAATGTCAGCTTGGATTTCAATTCCGACCTTTGCTAAAAACTGCTTTTGAGGTAAGGATTGGGTTTAGTTATGATTCCTCCTGTTATTACCTTTTGCTCAGGAAATTACTTGTAGCTGCTTGGATAAGATGGGGTGTACATAAATAGCTTGGGATGACTTAATTTTTTTCTTCGATCCACTCCTTTGAGAAGAAGGGTTGAAATGTTTCAGGCATAATTCAGATATGTCCTCCATAAAACTGGAGACAAAATAGGAATGAGTTAGTAAGTTCTATTGCCTTTGTGTATCTCCAGGCAGTCAGTTAGACAATGCCTGAAATAAGGTAGCATGTCCAGGGTATAATGTGTAGCAATGGGAGGTCCTAAGAGTGGAAGTGGAGAAAAAACTAAATCGATTTCAACCCCCACAAATGTAAGTTTTGAGATGATTTTGTCTTAGATGAATTGAAAATTGGATTTCTGCCACAATGTTCAAATATAAAACATTTAAAATTCAGATTAATGAGCATACTTATCACTAGATGTGTTCAGGGGTATAAACATAAAGCATCAATAAATGTGGATCAGAAGAGTACAATGCAAACAAAAATTGTGAGAAACACTTTTCAAAAACAAGCCCAGGGTTCTTAAAAGAAATCCATGAGAAAGATTTCTTCAGGGAATCATCTTTTCACTGACAGAGTGCTTTGCATTCCTACGGTTAATTAATTTAAGGTCAGTACCCTGCTTTTGTTCAGATAATTTCGAAACCAACTGACTGTATTGCAGATGAATTTTGAGTCTTGTGCAGCATAGAATTACAATTGGAAATGGCAGTATTTCATAGACTGTCAAGGTTTGGGAAATACATGATCTGTCATTTGGTGCATTTGGAGATGATGCTTTTTCCTTCAGTGTCCATTTTTATTAACTTCCTGTTTCATAACTATCCAGGTCCAACAGATGTGATTGAATTACGTGCTGTATTTCCAAAATGGGTTTAAAAAAATAAAGTAGCATAACCTTAAAAAAAGTCATTTCAAGACTAGTCAAACTGAGTTTATAAGTAATTGTAGGTTAAAACAAAAGTGGGGCTTTGTAATAAGTTATAATAAATTGGAATCAATAAAATCCTAACCCAGTTCAAAATGGGACCACGACAGCTGGGCAGTGCATCCACATTCACTGCGCCTGCATACAGCTGGCAGGTTTGCTTTCTGGCTCCTGCACTAAAAGATGTGTTCTTGGTCATCAGTTTGCCACCTGAATGATTTGTTGGCAGCATGCAGGGTTGACATTGATGACAAACTGATAATCCTCTAAGTGCCCTAGATCACAGCTTGCACATTTAAGTGTCAATGACAACAAGTCTGAGGAAATTTTTTAATTTAAATCCTTCACAGATTTGCACAATTACAGAAAAAAATTGATCTGAAGCAGCAGTGATGTTGGAGACACCATTTGTAGGAGGTTGTGGTTGCCCAACTTAGAAACAGCTAACTTCAGAATTTTGTTTACAGTAGAATTGAACTACAGTAGAAACACATTGTAATACATTTCATTATAAGATTAGTTTGTTTATTGTGGAGTGTGAATCCCTTTCAGTGAGCAGGTATGCCGCTGGCCAACACCTCCTCACATGCCAGCCCGCTTCTGCACTAAGAAATGATTTTCATCAGGACCTGTTGTCATAGACACATAAACGTTAGGCTGTGACCTGCTCATAGGACACTGCTGATGACAGATCAATCAGCCTGGCTCACCAACAGGACATGAAAGGTAGGGGTTCTTCCCACTCAGCTTGTAAGCCAAAGCCTTAACTGTCAGAGTGGTCCTTGCTGGAAAAGCAGTGGGAAGCTTTCCTGTCAAGTGTTCTCATGGCAAGCTGTATGGTTTTAGCTGGTCAGACTCCCAGCAGTACCCCAACGCACACTCTAGGGTGCCCAAGCCTTGGCTCTTCCCAGCCTGTGCTAAATACCTTCTGGAATTTTAATGCCTTCCTCACTCCCTTCGTCTCGCTCGCTCCCTTCCCATTTTCAGGTCTCTGCTGAAGACCTTTCTTTTTGACCGTACCTTTGGTCACCTTCCCCCCCCCCTCCCCTTGGCTCGGTCCCGGGATCCGTTACTGTAAAGTGCTCTGAGACCCCGGCCAGCGTGGAGGGTGCTATATAAATCCAAGTTGTTGTTGTTGGAATTAGGTAAACAGGGTGGGTTCCTCCAGAGTCAGAGTGTACATTCCATTCCAGACATGGAAATTCCCATGTGTTGCATTACACATGGAAAACTCTCAGTCTGTTTTTCTCGTAAGCATTGGTGATGGGTTTGTGCATGTGTAAGATTCCTGGCCGACCCCAAAAAATTGAAAGAGGCTTTGAACACATATTGATTGACAAAAATACATGTGCAATTGGGATTAGTTTATATACTAATAATGACCTGCTTGGTAGTTGAATGATGCTCTCAGTCAGTCATTGCGAGTGGCTGTGAAAAGTTTGTTGCACTGTAACAATGTTTTGCTTCAAGGTAAACTATTGTTCATTGGGCTTTCACTTTCAGGGTCTAAAAAAGATTTTAATATAATTTTTCTTGTTAACGAAATATCATTGGTGATCGAGCATTATCAGCTGTATTTTATGTGTAATTTTGCATTCCTGAGATTTTTCCTCTCCCCGTGAACTTCCAGAATATGATACAACGATCTTGTGGAAATAATGCAACAAATTATTCCATAATAAATTATTCAACTTCATCTTCCAGCTATGAGTTCCCCTAAGACATCAGTATACAGGAATCTCACATCCGCACAGATTTCCATCACAAGAAGATTATGTCTTTATCATTAAGGGGTACCTTCATACATGAAACCCCAGGACACATGCACATTCTGCATGATATAATAATAATAATATTAATAATAATGATATAGCAGCAATGAGTAATGAAAAATTAAACACTTAGGTGATGCCATAGTCACAACATGATTTCCTATCCTCTTCAATCAGGCACTGCTTTTATGCAACCTCAACCACCACTGACACTAAGTGAGTCACAGAGGTAACATTTGAGATTCTGCAATATCCAAGGAATGACCTGTAATTCTCAGTCTGTAGTTTGCTCAAGTTGTTTGGGAGTCTCAAGGGGATGTGTGTTCACAAATGAAGTATTGCTTTGCATGGTTGTTATAATTCTTTGGATGAGATGTTGCTTCGAGGGCTCATCTAACTGTTCCAGTAGCCTTATTTAAACTGTTAGAAAACTCATATTTCCCACTAAGTAATGTTGAATACAGTTTGAATACTCCTTAAAAAAATGCTTGCTTTTATACAGGAAATTGAAATTTTGTTATTGAGACAAATAATACAGTGTCGGTGTGCAGAAAAACTGCAGTTACCTGAAAGATTGAAATATAAAATAATTTGTTTTCAGAATACACCAGGAATCTAGTATTCAGTGTAAAGTAATACATGATTGTAACCATGCCTGAATATAATTTCAAATAAGTATTGCTATTTGCTGAAAATTTCTTGAGGCAGTGGTGAACCGTTTTAAAGTGGAAAGCTTTGAGACATATTTTCTTTTCTTCAGGAGCTTGAAAGAGTCACATCATTGCAGACAAATCTTCAATTGGCAGCTGTCATATGTACCAATGCCAGAAGGTAAGATATCAATTTCCCAGGAGATCTATGCCTGTGACAAGCTTCATTGATGCTCTTAAAAGGCAGTTGGCATACAATACTGATACATTGTGGATTTTCAACTGTTTGCAATAGACGAGTTTAGACTTAGTTTTAAACAACATTTATAATAGGCAAGCTGAACCTTAAGTGTTCAATTGGAGAAGGTATGTTTTGTAAAATAAGTGCTGTAAATTTCTTATTTAAATCGAATAACCCACTTGAGTATATTAATGGTGGGGTGGTGAACACTGCACTTTTAACTTGAATGAAAGTGTCTATTAACATGCTGAATTTCAAGCCTGTGATAATTATTTGAACTCAGATAGGTGTTTTTTAATAGATGTTTCTTCCACCAGCCACCAATGAGAGCAAACATGGAATTTGTTTCCAAACTTCAGCTAAGCCTGAAATTACATCCAGTCTTGACTTGTAAGATCATTTTGTCTTAAGATCACACAGGAGTGTAGAAAATTCTTCAATTCAGTCTTAATTTAGAAGGTGTGTTTTTGAGAAATGGAGGAAACTGGCTTCTGAATTTCGGATTTTGTTTTAAGATCAGTGTGATCTTAAATTTTAAGAGAAAATTATCTTTCAGATTATGGAAAATTGGTTGACCTTTGGGTTGTTGTTTATATCACTTCCTGAGTGCTTCACACATGCTGTATGAGCATGAAATACCACTGACATCACTGCCTTTGCGAAGTTAGGTCAGTGGCACTTCCTGAACATATTATCCAATCACATTTCCTGTACATGGTATGGAAATGACAGGTGACTGCCGACCATTTTTCACCTACATTATTCACCCATTTATTACCCCAGGAAGCAGGCAGACGAGGGTGTATTGTCCTGATAGCCTGTTTCACTGTTCATGCGTAGCAGCTGACTGGAGTCGAGGTACAGATTGCTTTCCATCCACGGCTGTTTTTCACATTAAAAACTAAAAAAATTGCTGACTTATGGGTCATCAGGTGACTGCCGACATCACTGTGTTTTTGCTGAGCGTGTGCATGATCCTGATTTGGAATTGCTGTGGCTGGTTTGCAGATCAAGTCTTTGATGATGTCACGTAGGAAGTGACATTGGAATCCAGCTCTTCTAGTGCAGAAATTGGCCAGTGGATGAAAATCAAATGGGTCAGCTGCGTATCTGTGTTGTGATCCACTCTGCTACTGCAATACAAATTAATTTGCTCAATAAAAAATGTGTGTTATAACAGGGCTGCACTGCAGCTATTGGTTAATGATCCAGTATATACAAGTACACACTTTTTATAGGGCAAATTCAGTTATAATGCAATTGCAGAGATATTTGTTAGCTAAGGGTATCAACGGGTATAGAAAAAGGTGGGTAAAAAGAGTTGAAGTGCAGATTAGCCATGATCAAACAGACTGATGGAACAGACTTGAGGGGCTGAATGGCCTACTCCTGTTCCTCTATTGAATAAGCAACAGTTTGTAGGTTTAATGTAAAAAAACAGCTATTTAGTCAATCCTTACTCCAATAAATTCATGCAGTTCAATGACAGCTGATCCTTTTTTTTAAATAAGATTAAATTCTGTGACGGTCCTTTTATAGTACAGAACTAGTTCACAAACAACATTGTAAGAATTCTTGTGATTTGCAATCTAGTTCCAAAATCCCATTTCCGTTCCTGCATTGGTTTAATTAGCTACTAGATAATATTTTAATGGATGAGTGGAGGCACGTTTAAGCTGTTCCAGAATACATTAAACTGATTGAGGGTTTAAGATGTAGAGTCCAGATTTTTTATCATTCTTGCTTGGTTTATGATCTCTGTTTATGATCTCTTCCTCCTTTCATACTGTGAAGAGGAACAAATTACGATGATGACATATTTAGAGTCTCTAACAGAATGATGAAGATGATTAAGGTTGCTGTTGGGCTCTCAGCAAAGAGGAATTTCACAGGGAAACCAATTCATCTTGTCACTGTGCACAGTTTTTATAACTGAAACACTCCATAAATAAAGCACATTTTGTGCTTTGGAGATGGCGTTTTTTTCTATGTTGGGGTTATTGGGAAGAAGTGAAAAAACAATAGGTCTGAAATTCGAACAAGCCTTAGCCTGTTAGAGTCTTAGAATGTAAGATAGCATAGAATTGTAAGTTGTTTTTTCAAGCTTGAATGATATTTGTTGTGTTTGTCTTGACAGACAGCTCAGTATTGCCAAGGAAGGTTTCACACAAGCTAGCCTTGGACTGCTTGCTAACCAAAGAAGGAGACAGCTCCTGATTGGACTATTGAAATCTTTGCGCACAATTAAAACCCTGGTATCTATTCTTTCAGTTTTCAAAAACTTTTGCTTTCTAATCTTTCAACATAAAGGTTTGCACTAAATATTTAACTTCTCTCTTCACAGCAAAGGACCGATGTGCGATTAAGTGAAATGTTGGAGGTAAGCAAATGTTGGAACCGAGGATTGTTTCCCAGGTATTTTCCATGTGTGAACAGCTAATATAAAAGTAATGGAGAATGGAAATGCATTGGAGACGGTATTTACAAATTGTGTTTTCCTCTCTTTGCAATATCTAAGGAGCAAGTTTATTGCTTTTCAAACAAAATGGGGAATTGATTAGTTCAAGGCTTGTGTTCAAAAGTGAAACCTAACAGTCAAGCAAAACTGCTTGGTTTTCCTCCTCCCAGTAGTAGTTTTCTAGTCTCATTGCAGCCTTATGCTTGTCTCATTGTCATAAATTATTTTTTATTTTTGGAAATGTGTGGTTCCTTCTATTGCTGTAAGGTTTAAATCCAGCTACAGCTTAGTAGTATTCTACAGCAAGAACAACATCAACAACCAACTACATTTGTAAAGCGCCTTTCACATTGGGAGGATGCCCCAAGGCACTGGACAGTCAGGGATTTGGACCCCAGCTGGGGGATGGGATCAACAGGGTGGAGGACAGGGAAGGTAGGGGTAAGAAGATGACTAAAGGTGCGGTCGAAGAGGAGGGACTTGAGATAGTCATTGAAGGAGGCAAGGGAGGGGGTGAGGCAGGGGACAGTGGGATGGAGTTCCAATTATTTAATTATTATTATTATTATTTAATTATTATTATTATTATAAAGGGTGGGGGCCCAAATGCTGATGATGGGGTGGGCCGGGCCAGGCGGGGCATATGGAGCAGGCTGGAACCTGCTGAGCATAGGGAACGGATAGGTCTATCTGGAATTAGAAGCTCGCTGAGGTAGGGAGGAGCAAGGCTGTGGAGGGCTTTGAAGGCAAGGACAAGGAATATGAACTCTTTCCTCTGGGGGATGGGGAGCCAGTGGAGCCGGGTGAGGATAGGGATGATAGGATCATGTAGATTGGTGCGGGAGAGGACATGAATTGCAGAGTTCTGAATGATCTGCAGGATTGTGGAGGGGAGAGTTGGGAAGACCGACAAGCAGGGAGTTAGCGTAGTCGAGCCTGGATGTGATGAATGCGTGGATGAGGGTGTCCTGAGGGGAGAGGAAGTGGCGGAGACGGGTGATGTTGCGGAGAGAGGCAGTGGTGGAGCTTTTCTAAATGTATTATTGAATACGAAAAGAACAAATATTTGTATAACAGCACTCTGCTTGCATGAGAGCTTGCATTGGATAAAAAGCTGCTGGCTTGACAAATACAGATTTGGCTTCTATGACCCCATAGGAGCCAGAAGTGAAGATTGTTCAGTACAATAAGCAGTTCTTGCGCATGTGATTAACTCATTCAGCCTAGAAGTACAGAGAAAGCTAATTTATGTTGCCATACAAAATTAACAGAGATGATTGGACACCATATCATGCAGTTAAATGTAGATTTGTCTTAGCTGAGATGCTCTGATCTTACCAAGAGTTGGCTTTTAGTGGAGTCAGTATAGAATACATTTACTGAAAACTTCATCCTTGTACACTAACACACGTAGATGAGGGGGAATTTTTTCATATACTGTGCTATGAGTTGAAATAGTGTTCCTCTTACCCTAATAAGGTGGAAATTTTCTGGTAGGCTTGATTAAAATGAGTTTGAACAATCTGAATAGTTTATAAATGACATGAGACCACAGCACATTAGAAAAATGATGCTAACTTGCTAGACTCATTCAGAAGCCACAAAGCTTGCTGCTATGGGAGGTATTCACATTAGTGCTTTAGAGGGGGAGCACTGTTAAGTGATTTAAAATGTGTTTTTGAGCAGAGTAGTGTCAGCTTTACCCCACATTTAATCTGTGCTGCATCTGATTTTTAATATTGAAAACTGTCAGTCTGGCTCAGTGATAACACACTCGCCTCCGAGTCAGAAGGTTGTGGGTTCAAGCCCTATGTCGGGATTTGGAATCGCACAGTCTAAGTTGACATGCCAGTGCGGTGCTGGGGGTATGTTACGTTGTTAGGAGTTGCCATCCTTAGGATGAGACGTTAAACTGAGGTTCCATCTGCTTGTTAAGGTGGACATTAAAGATCCCATTATACTATTTGAAAAGAGAAGGGAATTTCTTCCGATGCCCTGGCCAACATTCTCCCAAATAAAATTGGTCTTTCATTCCATGGCTGTTTGTCAGACATTGCTGTGTGCAACTGGCTGCCTTGGTAAGGGCTTTATATCAAATGCAAGGTTTATTGCTATGAATCTCTCAGCCATCAAAGACAACAGTCTGTATTAGTTGATCTAACTATGTTATGTGCTGGGGTGTAGGGCTAACAGCAGTAAGTTCTAGCTTATAATTTTAAATGGAAATTCATCATATGAAAAATTGCCTTTCAGCATTATTGTCAAGGAAATAGTAATCTTTGCATTTGGTATACTGTGTTTCATGTTGGGAGTGCTTCACAAAAATGAAGTTTTTTTTTGGGGGGGTGGGGGCGGGGTGGTGGAATGATGACTGAAGTTTAGAGAATTTCATGCCATATCGTGATGCGTTTCTTGCTATATTCTCGTCACTGAACTCCATCTAAGGCAGCAAGCTGTACAGTGTTAAAAGTGTGACTGCTATGATTGAGCACAACACTTGCCATGGTATCTTGAAGCAACACTTGTCATGGTATCTCACCATGCTTTTTCAGATGCTAGCTTCCATACATTACGGGCCTTTCAGATTAATTAGAAATGCAAGTCATTAGAATGGATTATATTTTTAAATTGAGGTTGTAATAATCTTCTGAGTACCTTTGCCTACATTGTCAAGTGTATTTGATGGTTTTGTAACGTTTGTTATTAAACATGTTTTTTGTTGTCCAGGAAGAAGATTATCCTGGAGCAATACAACTCTGCTTGGAATGCCAGAAAGCAGCGAGCACCTTCAAACACTATAGCTGCATAAGGTAAGAGCTTAGTAGTTAAGAACATTTAAGTGTGGATTGTGGAAGGGTTTTTATAAGAACAAAAGAAGACCAAAGTCCATCCAGTTTGCCTTCCACCATCCTGCAGTCTCATGCACGTGTCTTATCCCAAACTATATACTGTATCCTGAGATATTATTTCCTAACAGAAATCTATCTATCTTGAAAGAATCGACAATTTCTGCTTCCACCGTCTCCCTAGGGAGCTTGTTCCATATGTTTACTACTCGCTCATTGAAGTAGTATTATTGCAGATTTGTTTTGAATTTATCCCTTTCAATTGCAAGCATCCTCTGGTTCTACTGTTCAGTACAAGATAAAAGAGTTTATCATGGTCTACATTATCTAGTCCTTTTATAATCTTGAAGACCATAATCATATCACCCTCAATCTTCTCTTCTCCAGTGTGAAGTTGCTCAGTTTAACGTAATCGGTTCTCATCCCCTCAATCATTCCGGTAACTCTCCTCTGTATCCTCTCAATATCCTCTCAGGATATTAATGTAAAGCTCTTTCTCTCTAGATATTCCAAATATTCAGCATTCCTTCATTGCCTGCTGGATACTCACTGTGTTGGGTTTATGGCCTGGGGGAAATACCTCTTGGTTATGTTGAACAGAGAATGACATTCTTTCCAGTCTTTGCAATAAAACATAATTAAAATGTTTAGTATTAACTGGTATTTGAGTTGTGACGTGTCAGGATGTCAGCAAACTGAAATGCAGCTCAACATTTTAGAATTTCCTCCTTGTTTGGAGAAGTTTTAACAAGGTAGAATGTTTAGATTGAAAGCAATTTTCCCATTTCCTGGAATGGTTATCTAATTATTTGCTGCAGTCGTTTTAAGACATGAAGTACAATATAAAACCAATGGAGTTGTGTTCATTCAGTCTTGTATGGTTATTTCACTGTGTAATTAAGCAATATGTCAAAATGGTTTACTCCATTTCTTGAAAGACAAAAATCTAGTCACGGACAAATACTTTTATAATAGGTAATTGAACAAAATAAGTATTCCAGTTTAAACCATTATCTGACATTCATGTGCGACAAGCAGGACATGGCTTCCGAAAACATCTTGCACTATGATATAAATTATTAATTAATTATTAATTAAGTAATTAATTAAACACTGTATTAATTAACTGACAAGTTATGAATTTGAGACCAAAGTTGCCTGTCATCTCCATAACTATTTACAAAGATATACAAATCAAGAATTCGCAAAGATTTACAAAGAATATTCAGCACGGAAGCAGGGATCTCGGCTAGTATATATCCTCCACAAGTGTCTTCACTCATTCCTAATCTTTCCCGTATTGTTCTAACTTCCCCCCCATACCCTTGTAAATTGGTTATTTGGTTTCCAAATCTAAAAGCGTGATTGTGACAAATTATTCAAGAGCATTTTACACTTCTGAAGTGTGGCTTTAATACTCAAAACACAAATACCACTTTTGGAAACAAACCCAAGGACTCCAATTATCACAGAATCATAGAAATGTGTAGTACAGAAGGCGGCCATTCAGCATATCGAGTCTGCCTTCGGTCTCAGAGCAAGATGTTCAATAAGTCCCACTGCCTTATTCCCATACCCCTTCACGAGTCTATCCTTCACATACCTGTCCAAAAGTGGTATTTGTGTTTTGAGTATTAAAGCCACACTTCAGAAGTGTAAAATGCTCTTGAATAATTTGATTTCAAGATCCTCATCCTCACCTACAAGGCCATTCACGGCCTCGCTCCCTCCTACCTCTCCAACCTACTATCCCCCTACCTACCTGCCCGTACCCTCCGTTCCTCTGGCTCCGGTCTGCTCCACGTCCCCCGCCCCAACCGCCCTACTATCGGTGGTCGGGCCTTCAGCCTCTCAGCCCCGAGGCTCTGGAACTCCATCCCCCAGTGCCTTCGCCGCCTCCTCCCTTTCCTCCTTCAAGGCCGGTCTCAAAACCTTTCTCTTTGACCGTGCCTTCAGCTCCCCTCTCGACTCTCTTCCTCCTCCTCGCTCCTCCCTTCCTTCCCCTCACCCTGACCATTTCCCCCTCCTCTCTCCCTCCCTTCCCTCCCCTCACCCTGACCATTTCCCCCTCCTCGCTCCCTCCCTTCCCTCCCCTCACCCTGACCATTTCCCCCCAATGCTCGGGTCATGACCCAACTGTGCAGCGCCTTGGGACGTCCTCCTGACGTGAAAGGTGCTTTATAAATGGAATCTTGTTGTTGTTGTTGTTACTTCACTCTTGGAAGCCACGATTAACATTTGCCGCTAACACCATACTTGGCAGGGCATTCCACATCCCAACAACTCTCTTAAGTGAAAAACAATTGCCTAAGGTCTCCTTTCACTTGTCTTCTGGCAATCTTATAACTATGGCCCCTAGTCACCTACTCCCCTACAAGTGGAAATGAGTTCATTTAGAAATATGTTCTTACTGTCGCACTTGGTGAGGGGGGGAGGGGGGTGCTGACTCCCAAGGTGATGTGCTCATCAACAGGATGTCAGCATTGAATCAAATCTATAGGATGTTCCTGAGCCAGGTGGGTTCACAGTATGCCAAGGAACTACTCATGTCAGACCAGCCAGTCTGCAGGGACAGACTCAGCTCCTGTTAACACTGTAATCCAAAGTCCTGATAGTTAAGGTGATCCTAGCTGTTGTTTTATATCTAGTAGGGAACATGTTGAACAGAAACTACTCCTTTTCTCTCCCCTCGGCTCCCAGCATTCTTTTCTCTTAAGTGAAATGGATTAAGAGAAATTTTGCATTAACTTTTATTTGTAGCAGTTAAGTCACATCTTATAACCCTTGTTACTGGCTTTTATGGGGCACTTTGTCTGGAAGACTGTCTACTTTGTTTTTTGTGTGGCACCAGAGGTATCTTCTTGGATTATATACTGTTTTTATGTAAATTCTCTTTACATGTTTTAAATTGAAGTTTATATTCTGCATTACAACTAGGTATTTTCTGTAAACCTTTGTTATACCATCCACATTTAATTTAACTGGTGATAATGCTTTACTGAGGTGTGATTCGCTGACATATCCAGTAGCCGCTTGATTTGTAGATCCAAATCTGTTCTGATTTAAAGCTCCAGTGAATGTAATTGTGCATCTGACTTGCGTAGTACATTAGTTATTTTCTGGCTTTACGCTTAAGCTCTAATCCCACCCATCTGAAAAGAAATCCTCTTTTTATTATAGCATAAATTAAAATTAGTTTTAAAATTCAACCTCCTTCTGTCTTTATCTTTTCAGCCAGAAACCTGGTTTATATTTCCTGCAAATCTGATGCCATTTTCACCTGATTGTTCCATTTTATGTTAAAGACAAATGAATTTTCACCTTTATTTCTATTAAGTATAATATTTTTATATGATTTGATATACATTTTAGACACACTAAGACAATTTTACACTGAGTTCATTCACATTTTAAAGCGTTAAATAGCGTGATTTAGTATTTCAGGCAATAGATTAAATTTTATTGTAGATACATGTGTACAGATGTGTCTGTATGACCTTCTGCAGTGTCTCTCCTCTTCTCCCTTCAAATATGTATATCACAATTTGTGAATGTCCGTTTCAGCCTTTATCAGTGTTAGTACAATTGATTTCTGTTTAATGCAAGTACAATTATAAAATATACTATATTATACTATAATTTACATTTAGAACAACAGCCAAAAATAAAATACTGTGGTATAATTAACTTAGAAAAAAACCAAGCCATTTAACTTCTTTTACTTGCGTAATAATGTAGATACCATTTTATCTTTTATAGAGGCCCGTGAAGAATTTATGTTACATTACTAAATGTTTCCTAATAAAATGCAATCAAACACTTGCAGTTTTATGAGAGGTAGGATTAATTTCCAATTTATGGCTTCAGAAGGATAATGCGTCTAGACAATCTGCAGGATGAAATGGCATTTATGGCTTGATTTGTTTTTAAAGAAAATCCACAATGTAATTTTTTTGTTTTTGCTTTTAAAGTGAACTGAATTCAAAATTGCAAGATACTTTAGAACAAATTGAGGTAAGGATCTTAATTCACAAATACTATTTGCTTTCAGTGATTATTAAAATACTGCATGTACAAAGAGAAGATCTTTCTAAAAGATTTTTTTTATTAAGAACCTTAGTGAAAGCCTCAGGTCAAAAGTATAATGCAGCAGCAGGGTTGATAAGAATAGCTGGAAAAGCAAAAAACGCACGTGAGCCAATGAGGCCAGTTTTCTCATTAGGAGAGCTAGAAATCATGGGCTTGGAGATTAAGAACAGAGACAGTATTTGCTTTGTGATCCTTAAGCTTGATTTAAAATACGGGAGAAAGGTATAATGCACCAATCTAATGCTCTCTCCCCCACAAAAAAAATGTGAAGCCAAATAATTGTATCTATTGTGAGCAATGTTCTCGTCCAAACACCAGGAAACGTTCAACATGACATTCTTGAGAGAAATCCTGTTCAGACTCGAGTCTCATTCACTTTGCTTCAGAGAGCTGAGAAACCTCACCACCTAAAAACTTTTCAATTGTTTCAATTTGGTATCCTTTATTTATTACTTCATCATCTGATTTTTTTTCAAACAGAGTTCCTCTGCCACAATTTGTATTCAGACTGGATACATATTTTCCTGTTATTTACTTTTTGGTCTGGTTTGCCTAAATAATTTGCTTTGAGATACAATAAATATGTCTCATAGAACTAAATTAATTGTATGGCATTTCAGGTACTTTTATCCAATTGCATGCTGAATAAGAATAGTCCAAAATATTCAATAAAAGACCGTTAGTTACAATTAACGTGAAATGTAGAATCAATAATAAAGCTTCAGAAACTGATACATTATAACTGACTATTAGAAACATTATTAACTTTTAGGTTTTTTAAAAAAAACAATTGCAAATGGTCTAATAATATATTAAATATTAAAATATTAAGATGTCATTTTCTTTTTCAATGTTACTTTTACCTAGGAACAACTAGATGTGGCACTGTCAAAAACCTGCAAACACTTTGAAGTTGGTCATTACACCAAGGTCCAGCTAGCTTATCGATTGCTGGGAAAAACCCAAGTAAGTTCAAGTTAATAAATGCTTTGTTCATACTCTCTAAATGAATGCATTTGGCATTTACTCTCCAACCTGAGCTTCAGTGATTTTGATCCCTCAGTTACACTGCAGCTAGTGTTTCAATGTGCTTGTAATAGAGTGATTTGATATATTGGGCACTATACTGATAATAATAATAATAATAATACACTACTTTGCATCTGATATAGTATCTTTCACGTCGGGAGGATATTTCAAAGTGTTTCACAATAGTTCACTGTAAAGTTTACTGAAGTGTATTTTGTACTTGATCGCAATAACCAATTTGTGCACAGCAGTGTCCCACAAACCATGAAGCCATGAAGTGAATGACCAGTTTTATCTGGAGAATTGTTGGCCAGGTCACCGGGAGAAACTCCTTTGTACTATTCCTTCCAAACATTCTCACTTAGCTAATGAAGGTGGTAGTCTGCAAAGATGAATAGGATAGGTTACAGGAGGACTTGAACACAGCGGCAGGCTATATCATAACTTGTATCCAATTGAGAGAATACAGAGGAGAGCAACCAAAATAATTGAGAGGTGGAGGGACAGAATTACAGAGAGCGATTAGATAAACTGGGCATGTTCACCCACCAGGCTACTGGCGGCCTGCGTGCCTCCTGTCGGACCACTCCGGTCTAGTGGAATGATTGAAGCAGTAAACCAGATTCATACTATTTACTCCAAATCGTTCTCTTGTTAAGGCTGCGGATGCCGTATCATAAGTTGAGTCCACTTTCAATGCCTTTGTCGTGACATCTTATGTGCTTTATGTTTCATTACTTTCATTTTCACATGAAAAGTACAATCTTTAAATAGATTTAATGGGAGAATCTTGGTATATTATAAATGTCTCTCTCTCGCTCTTCCAGTTGAGCAGACAGCGGAGGGTAATGAATGGCCAGTGGTTCCCTCACAGTGTGTCTACTCTGTAGATTGAATTGCTGTTTATTTTTCTGATTGATTTACAGTTTGTTCTCCTTGTGCTTTTTCTTCCTGTCCCCGTCAAGTATTTGTTAGATTTTATGAGTTTGGATACGATTGTTAAAATATGGCAATACTTGGTGCCTGTAAATTAGAGTCAACTAAACAAACCAAGAATTTTCAGAACTGAATGAAGATAGTTTTCTAAGATAAATCGAGACACTGATTAATTTGACCTTTTTGCCACATAATGTCACTGGAAAAATAAGCCGAGTAGTTGGAATGTGTTTGCTACCATAAACCTAATGGACTCAACTAAATGGCAGCACATTCACAGCTGGTTAAGAATAGTGCCTTTTCTTATGCTAAGACTTTGTTCTGGATTTGTATTGCTACAGTCATAAATTCTATCTGAATATTCTGAGAAACTGCCCGAAGGTCTGACAAAAGGTCAAAATACAGAATACCGGCTGCAAAGTATCCTTTTCCTGCCTTTGGGATCACTATTCTTACTCATTTTTCAACAAAAAGAAATTGGTAGCAGATTTAGCAATTTCAGCCACGGATCATATCTTGCAATTATTGCAATGACTTTGATTTACAAATGCTGCCTGATCAACATTTTTTTTACTGTTTCAACTTCATGACACTTCACCAATGAAGTTCTCTGTGATGGTGGTCTGGCTATGGGTAACATTTTGGCTTCAGTGAAACAACAAATTTGATTCATATAGCGCGTTTCATGTCAGCAGGATGTCCCAAGGCACTTGAATTCAAAGGTTTACACCCAAGCTGGGGGTTAGATTCGGGAAGGGTGATGTCAGCAAATCAAATCCTAAAACTTCTCATTCTTTAAATAAGATAAAAAAAAACAAAATGCTGTAACTAATATGAACATATTCATACTTGCCTGTCATTCATGTTTCCAATAGCTTGGGTGAAATGATCGACAAGTTATATAAGCTGCACACATATTGGAATCTCTAGTTGCTTTCAAAACCTGGAAAATTATTGTCTTTCTGTTTGATATATTTCGCCCACAAAATATACAGCCAATTCACTTTACAGTATATTCTGTGAAGTGCTTTAAGACGTCTCAAAGATGTGATAAGGCACAATGTCAAATGCAAGGATTCTTCTTATATTATTATATTAATAATATTATGCTGGAGTCTATAGCTCAGTGTTTATAGTACTCACCTTGCAAGCGAGAGACCTGGCTTCAATTCCCGGCAGGATGAAACTTTGGGCAAGTTTCCTTACTCCACATGCCTGTTAATAATCCCTCAAGAAAAAAATAAATAAAATAATAATTTGGTCACTCAATCCACGACTGTTTGTGGGACACTGCTGTGCGCAATTAGGATGTGAAAAGTGCTATATCAAATGCAAGGATTATTATTATTGTTGTTATATTCTATGATGAGTGCATGCTTACCTGTGTGTGGTTGAGGTCCTGCACGTTTTGGAAGAAGCCAGAACACCCAACTTGGCTACTATAAGCTGCGGGGGATGATTGAGAAATGTGAGAGGTGAGGAGATGGGGCTCTTATGAAAAAGGTAGAATGAGTTTGTTGTTATTTGCTGATCTTAGAAACTCACCACTGTACTGGCTAACCGACCTTTAAATAAGTAGAAAAAAATATTGTTCTCCTAGGGTAATCTTAATGAGCAATTGTGAAACTACTTAAAATCTTCTGGGACTCCAAATTGAGGTGGCTATCCTTTCGGCTCATGTGCCGTTTATCATTGTTCAGTGAAATAATGAATATATAAATGTCATTTGGCTCAGTTGGTAGCGTGGGGTCAAACCCAATGATGGGACGTAAGATCATCGTCAATGCTGACCCTGGATCAGTGCTGGGGGAGTGCTGTTAGAGATGTCATACTCATTTTCTTGTTTTTAGGTGGACATCCCATGACACTATTCGAAAGGATAAGGGAGATTCACACAGTGCTCTTTCGTCAATAATTCTCCACCTTATTTGGACACCCATCATTCATGGTTATTTATGGGTATTTGCCGACATAATTGCCTGCAAAGGTTGGCCTACAAAACAATTACTGCAATTGAGAGTAATTACTTTTGACGTGCTTTGAGACTTTTCAACAAAATCCATCAAGTTTTATTACTTTTATGGTGAATTAAAGGAGATGTATTGATGGACTTTAAAAAGACGATAATTGATACCGACCTAATGTTGCAGAAGTTGATAGGATGCACAGATGTAGCAAACGGTTCAGTAATAAGGATAAACAGTTCCAGCTGCACCAACTTACATTTACAGTGCAGCCTAATAATCCTGTAACTGGGAGTAGAAATTTTGACAGGGTTTTTGAAATTGAAGATGCGGGTGTACAGGCTAACCTTTACAGTCATTTATTGACTTAGAACAGGTCTAATTTTTAAATTAACCAGACTCTAATGGCAGAATAAGGAAGCTGCTATCCTTGAGCAGACAAATATAATTGAAGGAAATGTAGATTGGGATTAACAATGTATGATGGATTTTGGACTTCTCAATTATAATTGATTTAGGTTAATATATTCCTATCCAGAATAGCAAAAGAAGGATCTTGGTCTTTGTAAATGGAAGGGAGTCATTCCTGGGATGTTTTGTTAAGCCTTCTCCTCCAACATCAGCTGATGAAGTCAAGTATAAATTGTTACAGTTTAATTCCCACAATAACAACAACAAATTTTGATTTATATAATACCTTTTACGTCGAGAGGATGTCCCAAGGTGCTGGACAGTCCAAGGTTGGCACCCAAACTGGTATGGGAGCCAAGCTGAGTGGATGTTGAGAGGGGTGGGGGGGAGGAGGAAAGTTGTCCAAAGGCACAGAAAAGAGGACAGATCTTGAAGGTGATGAAACAGGTGAGTCGTAGGGACTCTGGTATGGAGTTCCAGAGATAGCCTGGAAGTCTGACTGCCTGAATAATGGACTAAAATCCACAACAACAATTTTGCATTCATGTAGCACCTTCGTGTTTACGAGGTTTTCTGGCGTATGTTCCGGGGAGGGATAGGGAGGAGGGTACAAGACTCCATTAATAACTTCGCACTGCAAAGGGCGGCAGAACCCCGAGGCAGGGAACCATTGGTCCCTTCACCAAAGTGGAGTGCGCAGGGCACCCCCCCTCCCCCCCCACCCCGCCACAGGATAGTAACATGTTGCGTCTTTTTTTCTGGAATGGGTTTGATACTGTCTGAGACCAGCATAAATATATATCAACAAATAAATATATATATATATTATTTAAAAAACACTTTCACAGCAGGTAGGTGTCTCAAAGTACTTTGCTAAGCTGAATGGGAGCCTAAGTCCAGGGTGGGGGGAGCTCAGGAAGATTGGGGTGGTGACCGAAGTGCAGTTGAAAAGAAGTGTCTCAAGGCGGGCTTTAAACTGCAGAGAAGGGCGAGGTGAAAGACTGGGGGCATTATGGTTGGGGGGGGATATGAAGCAGACTGAGCAGAGGGAGTGGATTGGGCAATGGGATTGCAGGAGTTCGCAGAAGGAATGTATGGCGAGGTGTTGGTAGGGATTTGAACATGAGGATGAAGATCGGGATTAATCGGAACATATCAGCATGGATTGAAGAGTGGCTAACGGGTAGAAAACAGAGAGTAGGGATAAACGGGTCATTCTCGAATTGGCAGAATGTGACTAGTGGAGTGCCACAAGGATCAGTGCTTGGGCCTCAGCTATTTACAATTTACATCAGTGATCTAGAAGAGGACATTGAATGTAACGCATCTAAATTCGTGGATGACACTAAACTAGGTGGGAGAGTAAGCTCTGAGGATGATGCAAAAAGATTGCAACGGGATATAGATAGGCTAGGAGCGTGGACAAGAAGGTGGCAGATGGAATATAATGTGGGGAAGTGTGAAGTTATTCACCTAGGTAGCAAAAATAGAAAAACAGATTATTTTCTAGAGGGGGAGAGATTAGATAGTGTTAGTGTTCAGAGGGATTTGGGTGTCCTTGTACACCAGTCTCAAAAAGTTAGTTTGCAGGTGCAGCAAGCAACTAAGAAGGTGAACGGCATGTTAGCGTTCATTGCAAAAGGTTTAGAGTACAAGAGTAGGGAAGTCTTGCTGCTTCTGTATAGGGCCTTGGTGAGACCGCACCTGGAGTGTTGTGCGCAGTTTTGGTCTCCTTATTTAAAAAAAGACATACTTGCCCTAGAGAGTGTGCAGCGTATATTCACTAGGTTAGTTCCTGGGATGAGGGGACTGACCTATGAGGATAGGCTGAATAAACTAGGGCTATATTCTCTAGAGTACAGAAGAATTAGGGGAGATCTTATTGAAACATATAAGATTCTTAAAGGGCTGGATAAAGTAGACACTGAGGGTCTGTTTCCCCTGGTAGGAGAATCTATAACCAGGGGTCACAGTCTTAAAATTAAGGGTCAGCCTTTTAGAACAGAGTTGAGGAAACATTTCTTCACTCAGAGGGTAGTGAATTTATGGAATTCTCTATTCCAGAAGGCTGTAGATGCTCAGTCCTTGAACATATTCAAGACTGAGATTGATTGGTTTCTAAAGGACAGAGGGATTAAGGGATATTGGGATAAGGCAGGCAGATGGAGTTGGGTTAGAAGATTCAGCCACGATCTTATTGAATGGCGGGACAGGCTCGAGGGGCTGAATGGTCTACTCCTGCTCCTAATTCCTATGTTCCTATGTTCCTAATTCTGAATGGAGCTAATGCCAGTTAACAGACGTAAAAACGCACCATACCTTATGGGTAACTAACACCCGATAAATGATTTGCTTTTCAATGTCACTTGATTTTTGAAACCACCAGTGGTCCAAATCGTTCTAGGATACGTGGACTTCCAGTGTTAGAGTGCAAACCACCATTGAATTGGATTGTGATCTTCACTCCCCAAATACCTGGAGCAGAGAATAGGAAATGACTCTGACAGTCACTTTCTTCACTTTATCCTCATTTGGTTCAATTTATGGAGCTGCTGGGTATGAACACTAGGACTTTTTTTGCAGCGATTTGAAATCATTCAGAGTTTCACATTTCTATGTCATCTAAGCAAATGGAATGGAATGAACACTCTCTCCTGTGTGGGAAAAATCCCTGCCTCCAGTGACTGGTTTGCCCCTTCAAGTGCTGCCGATGAGCCAGGCTGGCTGTCCTGTCATCAGCTGTGTCCTGCAGTACACAAACATCCTATCTGAGGAACCAGATTACTGAGACCATCACAAGGTGGCCTCGATTGTGACATTCCATTAAAAAGCAGGTCACTTTGGAGCCAGCTCATCGCTAACAACTTTTAAAAACATGGTGGACGGGTATTTAAGGAGGACGGGTTTGCAGGGTTATGGGAAAGGGCTGGGGAGTGGGATTGACATTACATTGCTCTTTTCAAAGAGCCGGCACAGACTCGATGGGTCGAATGGCCTCTTTTTGTGCTGTACGATTCTATGATTCTATGATCTCTGACTTGACTGCAATTGCTTGTCAATTTACAAGAAAAACTGTTCAAGCAACCACCTCCATTCAGCAACTATCCCCTGTTAGCAAGCACCCTGGAACAGCCCAGTTCGCACACGAGTGCACCCTTACTCAAAGGCGATGCTTCTATGAAGTCCCGAGTGGTTGTTGAAGACATGTTTGAACACATTTGAGAATCATGGATTGTTTTGCTCTGTGTGCTTACAGTTAGCTGAAAAACTGTGAGGCTACTTGAATTCTAATAACTCGGATGCTTTACAGTATAGAAATAGGGAGAAAAACTTTCTTTCCATTGGTCTGGTCAGTCTCCACAGCACTCAACTTCAACAAATCAATTCAATTTCTAAATGGAACAAGTCTGATGAGCTGATTGCCTGCTTCTGTTGTTTTTCTACCCCAAACAAACTCATTATAGATGCAAAGCTACATAATTTTAAGGCCAACCAAATGTCAGTGAGGGGTGGGAGAGGGAATACAGAAAAAAATTCAGTACTTTGGAAGAATCATATTCATGGTATAAATGAAAAAATACAGCCAGTATTGCCGCCAGTTAAATTGGATGGTTTGTACAACACATCTAACCTCAGTAGCTGTATTAGGAGTCCTCACATTATTCAGAGAATTTCACAAATCAAACTGGATCCAATTTGGGCCATGTTTATTCAAATGAATCATCTTTCTGAACTTGAAATAGCTTTTTTGTTAATAATAATAATTTTAGGGATTTTCAGGTGATGCATGTTTTTGGACATCTTGGGCTTTACCAAGAAGGTAAGAAAACCTTCTGCTCTCTAGCCTCTACTTCCCAATAAGTGATTATAAGGATACACACCAGCTTTCTATGAGTAACCATCTCTCCCTCACGAGGCAAAATATCAATGTTGTTCGTGCTTCACTGGATAGAGAATTGCAGATGTGAACTGTCTTGTAGCACAGTTCTCTGGAATTTATGTGGTGCATTACCAAGCTTTTTTTGTTTTTCTTGTCACCTAAGATGTGATTGTCTATAGATCTCCTTTCTCCCTCACAATTTTCTGCCCTTTTTCATTTAATGGTTGTTTGTGGGACATTGCTGTGTGCAAATTGGCTGCCAAGTACTCATACATAATCACTGCACTTAACAGTAAATCCTTTGAACCGCTTTGAAAAATGTTGACAATGTGATAAGAAGTTATATCATATGCAAAGATTATTATAATAATAAAACTTTCCTGGTTACGGTGCTACTAACATATGATTAAAATTCTTTTTGTACAGACAGCAATGGACCAGTTGCACATGCACTTCACTCAAGCCATTCATAACACAGTGTTTCAGGTTGTTCTTGGATACGTGGAACTGTGTGCAGGAAACTCTGACACCAAGTTTCAGAAACTCCAGTACAAGGATCTCTGCACAGTATGTATTTTACAGTAATTTTTTCTAATATGCATGGTTTAGAGAGAAAAATCTGATGCATATATTTCTGGGTTGGGTATCCTGCATTTCAAAGATTATTTCAAGTAGAAATAAAAATAAATTGTAATATCTTTTGTATTTAGATTAATGGAATTTTTACACTTTCCGTGCCAATATTTTGTTTTCTGCTTGCTCTTTTTGAACTTTATTAGCATTTAGTATAGCTTAAATCTATTATTGTATACAGATATTATGACCTTGTTTCTCCTAAAATGTAAATTGTCTGATTCCATTATGAATGATTTAAGATTGCAGGTGCAGATAACATTCTGACTAATTCCTCATTATAACTGAAACTGACAGGATTTATTATACCTTGTTAAGCTTTATTGCATGGGGAGAATTAACTCTGGTCTCCATTGGAAATATCTGGTAGAGGACACTGAAGTTCTGGTGCAGTGCCAAATGTGAACAGGCACATATTTTTTCTTCTATAGAAGACGCATACATTATGCTGGGATTGCCAGTTTCACATTATGTGTTCTTTTGAGAACAGCTAGGCACCTGCAGATCAGTGTTAATGAATATTGGTGAAATTTGTAACGTTAAATGATTTGTAATTTTAAATTTGTTATATAATAATTCTTAAGCACTCCGGACACTACCCGGCATGAAGGCCGCTCTGTAAATGCAAGTTGTCTTTGATGTTGCTGTAGCTTCCTCTAGGAAAAGTAGGTGCTGTTTAACAGGGGAAAACATTCACTTGAACAACCACTTTTCAAAATGCCATGATGTCATTTGTCACAGTGTCAAAGACATCCCCACAAATTGCTCCCATTACTATACAGTGAAACTCACGTAAGTCATATTTTTATAAATCATATAATTACTTAAGTCGTACATTCACGTGAGTACCAATTTCCTATCATAGCCACTTAGATTTCTTTGCACATGGAGCTGAACATCACTTGTGCGTTCTTGGTTCCCGACATTGAATTATTAGGTCAAATTCTTTACCCAGATCCATCCAGTTTGTACTCGGTGACCTGGCTCTTGAGAAATAGTAAGTTTTAGACTGAAACTTTCTATCGTTGATTGTGGACAGTTTATTGGCTTGGAAAAAATCATCTCCAAATATTAATCATCTATAACAGTGATTTACAGTTTTTTTCCTTGGCAATCATCACTTATTGAATCAGCAACAAGCTGGAGATTCCATTGGTATGTGGAAGATCTCCATTTGAGGAATGAGGAAAACCCTACAAGATAGCTAAACTTTCTTCCATTAAAAAAATTGCCCCACTTTGGATCTTTTTATGCTTTGTACTTCAGAACATTCATTTAAATGTAATTAGATAATATTGGATGATTGCTTACATGGTACTGAGAAATTGGGCAGGTAGATCAATCAGAAGGAAGAGTCCATAGATCTTGTCACTTTTGTAGGGTCTTGGCACAGCATCCCTTGATTACTATTCAAACACTTTTTCTCCTGTTTTTTTTATTTGTGAATTTATTTAAATGGACAGCCTGGTTTGAGATAGCGAGCTTGTTATGTGAGAAATTATCGACAGTGGTGAACTTTGGAATACCAGTCAAGTGAGCCGCCAAACTGCCTCCTATACCCAGGTTACTTTAAAAGTTTATTTGAAGTAGAATGCTTCATGTTCCAAATATAAATCACAATTTGTTCCACTTTGAAGAATGGACATCTTCAATAGCTATGCTTTGATGTCTGCAGATAGAAACATTCCCAAGAATTATGGGACTTTTTATTGATGGTGAAAATTCTGAATTGCAAATATTAATAATAATAATAATCCTTGCATTTGATATAGCGCCTTATCACATCTTCTAGACGTCTCAAAGCACTTCACAGAATATACTGTAAAGTGAATTGACTATATTCTGTGGGTGAAACACGGCAGCCAATTGCGCACAACAGTGTCCCACAAACAGTCGTGGATTGAGTGACCAAATTCTTATTCTTGTTTTTTTTTGTTTGGAAAGGATTATTATCCCCGGAAAAGCGATCCACCAACCGACTAACAACCAGGTTCCTACTTACTGCTAAGTAAATACAGGCGTGTGGAGTAAGGAAACTTGCCCAACGTTTCACTCTGCCGGAAATCAAACTTTATATTCAGGAGGATTATCTTTCTCCTCCCCTCCTCAAGAAATATATAAAATGCTGTTACTTAAAACAAGAAAGATGGTCAATTGTGATATTAACTGCTGCTTCTTTGTTTATTTTGTGGGGACTTTTATGCAGATGATAGTTTAAATTGGCAGAGAGTTGGTTTTAACTAGGAAGGGGGAGGACATATGCATTCAGTTATATGCAGTTTGTTAATGTGACTTTCAATGACCACATTGTTATATCTTAATGACTGTAAATAACACTGTTGTGGTGAGAAGCATTTCTTAAAAGTTGAGTATCAACTTGTTCATTTTGTTTTAAGTCCACTACATATTTGTAGCATCATTTCTTGCACAAGAGTGCTGTATAAATTCATTTTGCGGTGCATTTTGCACATAACAGTCTGCACAGAGCACAGAAGGTGATATGAATAGTGCATTTCGGCAATTCACAATAAGTGATATTAGTTGTACTTTACATAGTGTAAGTGACCCTATGACATGAAAATTACTTTGTTTTACTCCGCCTATTACACTGAGATACTGGTCCCAGTGAGCTGCTTTATAACAGGGTTCCCTTGTGTAGAATTAGGTTACAAGGGAAAGAGCACAGTTCACACTTTTCCACAGTAGTTATCTGTTGCCATGGTCTGTACTTTGGCAACGCTTACAGATTGCTGCAATCATGTGCAGAGTGATTTACTGCTCAGTGTGGGTCACCAGTAGCTCATTCTGCTGGCTGAGGTATACAGTGATCTGCTAAATATTCAACTATACAAATGTGAATATTGTCTGTAGCACACAGAAGATGAAGTCAGAAAAGGTCAGTGTCTAGACAATTTAATGGAAACTAGTTTTGTAAAAACACATAAAATACTAGCACACATTAATAATTTTTGTGTAATGATTGACAGTCTGTTTTACTTTTGACACAACATAGATGGATTATTCATGAATGTAGTGTTTTTGCAAGATTGAGGATATAATTATGGCTTCTTAATGCTTGAGACAACAATCTCTATTCATTTGTAGAATATTTGCATTGTATGGGACTGCTGTTGAGTGCATTTTTTTAAGAATACATTTAATATCCAATTCAATATTCTTTGAAATTGAGAGAAATGGACCAACTTGCCCTAAGCTGTGTTTCACAGCTGGAATTGACTGAACAACTCATGCTTTTATGGAACTAAATGGGGAAGAGTGTTAAGCATATTGTACTTTTGATTAATGGGGGTCTTGGCTTGGAATACTAATATGAACCGAAATTAAATCATATAGTGCATTTATTTTTTCCCTTTCATATCTTTACTGACTCCAATCATTTTCCTACTGTATCTGCGCTGTATATTTATTTATGATCAGATTACAGTGTTTTATTAATGTGCTTGGTGCTAGATCCTCAGTATCTTTAGAAAAAAGGATTTTTGTTTACGCTAAATAATGCTCCAACAATTTTGACTTTAATATTTTGCCAAGTAATTTATAAGAAATGTAAACTACATTTGATGGTTGGTAGATTTCTGTTTGTTATACAAAATTGGCAGCATGGGAAGGAGTGGAACATGCATTGGTGAGAGCAAAGCCAATTGATGCCCCAGACAATTAGATTGGATAAATGTAAATAAACTGATTCCACATCTTGAACCTGACTGAAACAATGTTTAAATATTCTGGGAACTGGATGGGGTACCTGCAGGTATTGTTTGAAATATCTGCATTTATTAGTATGGTATTTATTTTTACATGTTGATCATATCAGAGTACCTTGATATATTCCTTGATGGACCCAAATGTACTATTACTCTTGCTAGAAGGGATTATGCAGTAAAATCGTCATAAATGTTATGTTTATAAATCCTATAAACTCCTCAGTCGTACATTCACCAGTCAGGTTCAGTTTCCTATACAAAATCACTTGTATGTTTTTACATTACTCATATTACTTGCCTTAAACTTGTAACGCCACTCCCCTACTCTCCATTATTCCCGCTTTTGCCAGAGGTCTTGAATTGCAGAAAATGGTGCCCCTATTTGTCGAGCCATGTGCTTTTACCGTCCGGCTGCATTAACTTGTGGGAAGCGTAGCCTTCATCGATTCATGTGCAGAAGAACTTAATTTTCCCACGATTCAATGCAATTTCTACATTTGCCGGAAATTGTGCATTTGGTGATGGGTGAGGACACATTGAATCACGGAAAATGTGGTCTTAACCTGTCACTGAATTTGCCCTTACTGGCTGAAATCACGAATTAATGCAACACACTTACCAGCTGCATTACATTTTTTTTGCATGGGCGGTGTAAATTATTGATTAAATCAAATTTTTTTGAGATTTCTACAGTTTGCCTGCAACTCGGAATTTGCATAAGTCTTATTAAATGTTATATCCTGACTGATATGACTTCCGTGAGTTTTATTGTATCAACAATCGCCTTGCTTGAAGGGATTGTTCAACATTAATGTGGGATATGTACCAGAATTTCCTAAATGTATATGCTGCAGCAAAATATTAATCTTTAGATTCTGCTCATCGTCTCTATTTTGAGCTGTGCTGTAACAAGTCTCACAAGTCTTTACTATTCCCTGCAGCATATTACTCCAGACAGCTACATACCATGCCTCTCTGATCTTTGCAAGGCCCTGTGGGAAGTAATGCAAAGCTATTATCGAACCATGGAGTGGCACGATGAGCATGACAACGAGGAGTCAGCCCCGGCCTCTGGTAGGGAATAATGCAACAAATTCAAACCATAGTTAAAACATTTATTGGAATGTGTGAAAAGTCTTGGTTTTTAATTACACCTGAAGTATAAATGCTGAACGATTGAGAAAGAAGTCATAATGTTTGGACCTGCTGAATATTATTGTAATATATTAATCAAATAGTGGTTCCTAGCTGTTTATCTAGCTCCCCCTGATGGCCACTGGAAATGACTTAACACTGTCTTGTGTTAAGTAATGTACAGTTTTATACAACCAAGAGCTGTATGTTTGAGCCCTGTGCTGAATATGTTGATTCAGCCAGGGTAGCATTTGAAACACTGCAATTTGGTATTATTGCCCTAGAATTAGAGAAGAGAAAATCAGACAGAATTGTGTCCCTGTTCTTGTTTCCCCCCCCCCCCTCCCTGCTATGGACCATGGCCAAACATTATGCTTCCTGTTGAAGCTCACAAAATCAACTGAGTTTGATGGTCAGTTGTATGTCTTAACGCATACGGAAACTCATCAACATGCTTAAGTATCAAAACCAAACCAGAGGGTAGAGGTCCATAGAAATTCTTGTGTATTGGAATGGAATGTGCACTCTCTCCCTGCAGGAAAGCATCCTGCCTACCTAATTCCGGAAAGTATTAGGTGCAGGCCGGCAAGAACCAAGGCTTGGAGACCCCAATGTTTGTATTGGGATACTGCTGGAGCTAAAACTGCATAGCTTACCAATGAACACACTATCTGGCAAGCTTTCCCACTGCTTGTCCAGTAAGACCACTCTACCCATTAGGGTTTTGCAGGGTTAACAGGAATTGAGTGGGAAAAATCCCTGTCCCAGTGACTCGTCTGCCTTTCAAGGTCTACTGATGAGCCAGGCTGGCTGTGCTAAGCAGTGCCCTGGAGTATTCCATCACCGCCTTCCATCACCTCCGGAACATCGCCAGACTATGCCACTACCTCACCCCTCACGCTGCTGAAACCCTGGTTCACGCCTTTATCACCTCAAGGCTGGACTATGGGAACTCTCTCCTCGCCGGCCTTCCCGCCACCTCCCTCCACAAGCTGCAGGTCATTCAGAACTCTGCAGCTCGTGTACTGTCCCGCACCAGGCTTCGGGACCACATCACTCCCACCCTCGCTCGCCTCCACTGGCTCCCCATCCCCCAGAGGATTGATTTCAAGATCCTCATCCTCACCTACAAGGCCATTCACGGCCTTGCTCCCTCCTACCTCTCCAACCTACTATCCCCCTACCTACCTGCCCGTACCCTCCGTTCCTCTGGCTCCGGTCTGCTCCACGTCCCCCGCCCCAACCGCCCTACTATCGGTGGCCGAGCCTTCAGCCTCTCAGCCCCGAGGCTCTGGAACTCCATCCCCCAGTGCCTTCGCCGCCTCCTCCCTTTCCTCCTTCAAGGCCGGTCTCAAAACCTTTCTCTTTGACCGAGCCTTCAGCTCCCCTCTCGACTCTCTTCCCCCTCCTCGCTCCCTCCCTTCCCTCACCCTGACCATTTCCCCCCTGCTCGGGTCATGACCCAACTGTGCAGCGCCTTGGGACGTCCTCCTGACGTGAAAGGCGCTTTATAAATGGAATCTTGTTGTTGTTGTTGTTGTTGAGTACTGCGAACCCGCCTGCCTCAGGAACTGGACAAAACTGCCATTGAGGTTTGGCTCGATTGTGACATTCAGTTGCCAAAATATCACCTTGGAAGACTCCGCTTAGCCCCTCCTCCCCCCCAACACGGGAAAACTAACTCGTCCTAGACAGAGATCGGATTGATAGATTGATAGAATGTTCTAATATATGCCGTTCGCATACTTTAGGGAATTAGCCAGTAAAACTAATAGAATATCCTTGACTACCTGAGGAAGAAGTTAATGGAGTAGAACTCTTGATGCTGCATCTGCCAAATGTATTTTACGCAGTGGAGTCAGCTTCCATACTGCACAGAATATGGCATTTTTGGCAATGAATGGGGAGTATAGTATAATCTGTTAAAGGTTAGTGCCTTTCCTTTACTGTATATCCAGACTAAGTGCTGTACTATTGCTCAGTTTACATTATATTCCTGTTTTATATACAAAGTGATTGCTGGTTCTTTACATTTGCTTGGTTGTATATACCCATAGCACTGCATTGTAAAATATCAAGCTTCACAAAGTATGTTACAGCACATTATTTCAAAAGAACATTTGATAACTATTGTTTATACAACTACAAGAGCTCAGACCTCATTGGGACACATATTAGTTACTCTCCTTTGAAGGGCTGTATGTCATGCACAGTATCTGACCTTCCATCTGTGTGAACAGGAAAGATGAGATGTTCACGAGATTAAACCAAGGAAACAGATAAAAACTGTTATTGATGAGCAGTTTTAAGGGTAGGATTTCCCAAGGTGCTGGACAATGAGAGGTTTGCACCCAACCTGTGTTTGGAATCAGAGAGGGGTGGAGGGCAGGGGGTTGGAGGAGGAAACATTATCAAAGGCACAGTCAAAAAGAAAGGTCTTGAGAAGGGCCCTGAAGGAGGCAAGGGAGGGGGTGAGGTGGAAGGGCCCTGGGATGGAGTTCCAGAGGGTGGGGGCAGAAGGCTGAACTAAATTGATGTTTGTACTCTACGTTCTCTGCTGTAACAGTTGGATGATGACTGTAAACAGTAATTTGTCACCTAAATAAATTAAAAAGTCAACTGGATTTTACCAAACATAATATTTTCTGCTCCTTTTGAAATTGAGCATGATCAGAACAATCCACATGTCTGTTCTTACATCTGTTTCTGTCACTTCAAAAACATCAACTTTTCACCAGATTTTAAACAAGCTTCATAAGTGTCTAGACTTCTTCAAAATTTCACACACAGAACTGTTTGTTCCGTTTTAACATCTGTAAGAAGTAATTTGTAATGTCAGTAGCTTAATCTCATTTTTGGACTTTCACCAGGCTTAATAGTTAGTTATTTTACCTCATTTTCTGGGCACTTTTTTGAAAATGAGCCTATTAAGCACTTGTGAGTATATTGCCTTTTGCATTGATAAATATTATGGTTATTTCCAATTTTGCCACATCATTAGCTCTTCTCCAATATCAATGATTCCTTTTCCTTTGATTCCGATTTTTTTTCTGGTTAACTGACGTGTGACACATGCTGAAGCCAATCGCCATGCTTAAGAGTATGCAAATCAGACTGAGAGTTCCACATACGTACGCACACCACCTAAATAAGGAAATTTCCATACGTCTGGAATGCAATGCTCACTGTCTCCCTGGAAGGACGCATCCTGCTTACCTAATTCCGGAGAGGAGTAGGTGCAGGTTGGCAAGAGCAAGGGCATGGGAACTCCAAAGTGTGTTTTGTGGTAATGTTGCAGTTTGATCAGAAAAAAATGCATAGGTTACCTTCGAGAGCACTGCCAATTAGGCTTCTTGCTACTTGCCTATCTGGGACCACCCTATGTGCTAGTTTGCAGGCTGAACAAGAGCTGATTCGGAAGAATCCCTGTTCCTGGTGACTGATTTGCCCTTCCAAGCCCTACTGATGAGCTTGGTATGTCATTGGCAATGCTCTGGAGTACTGCAGACCCAACTGACTGTCGAGTTGCAAAACTGCTGTGTAGAATTGACTTGTTTCCAACAAACATGTCACCTTGGAGCTAGCTCAGCTCCAAAGAGACACCACTTACTTTCCTCTCCCACCCCCCAAGGAGGATATACCTCGGCACACCTCAGCATTTCCAATCAAGGTAGACCCTTCAGGGTGCTAAGCAAATCAGTGAAGGCCACCATCCCTCCCTGTAACTGCTTCCCCTTTTTGGTACAAATTTACCTCACAGCTTGGTCCTAGATGCCTTCTACAAGTGGCCGTCTAATACTTACTGCCAACACCCACACATGAACAATGGCTACTTGAGTGGGGATGGTAATCCGCTTTGTGGAACTGCTCCATAGCAAGATTTGCCCAGACCAGGTGTGGAGGATACACTGGTTGGATGGTGTGGGGGAGATGGGGGTGGATTAGAAATATAATTGGACACATTAAATAATAAAAATGTCCACCACAATCCCTAGATCAAGTCAATTGCATCTTCCAATCAATAGCTTGAGGGTCCCTTCTTTATCCTTGCAGAACCATAATACTGTACTTGCAGATACCCATCCTTTTATTGAGAACAACAGAACCATTCATGAGCACAGAGTTGTGACCTCTGTAAGTAAAGCACATTGTTATGTTTTATTTAAGATACTAACTTACTACCTCCCTCTTGTCATACTAGATTGATTGATTTTAATTTTTAAAATCGTTTGATGTCTGCATATAAATTGTGAACATAGTTGTAATAAACCTGGGGTTAAGTTGTACCATGCCATGAATATACAAACATTCTCCTTAAGCAAAGCAGATGAGGTCTCGCGCTGCACCATTTGTATTTAGCAGATTTATCATTTATTGATTGCTAAATGAATATGGATTAGTTGTGAATTATGGACAGTTCTGTGATCTGGGGGCATGTGAGCACTACGACCTGAAATGCTTAAATGCTGATCGAGACTGCAAACAATGCTTGAAACCATTACAACCAGAGAGTCTTTCAGTCCATTAACTGTGGATCAGATTCAAACCTGCCTTACCTTTGCAGTTTATCCTTCCTTTACAAATTATGTTATTACCAAAGATTAGGTGTGTTTGTATGAAATGTCTTGCATTTTTTTAAAAAAGTCAATATATAAGATAGATATAAGTTGCAACTTTCTCCAGCAAATATTGTTATCTGTTCCTGATTCAGAATTAGTTTTGTGGCGAAACCAGTCAGTGTTAAAACTGCAATGTATTCTTGTTATCCGAAAATGGAGGATCTTTAATGCCTTACTACTCTTAAAGTTTTTACTTAGCTGCTGCAAGATTTAATATGAAAATACGACTAATGAGGTGCATTCATATGTAAAGTCGGGTTAAGGACTTTTTTTATTTAATATAAGTTAGCAGAATTGAAATTTTATGTTAAATTGGTTCTG